CTAGCATTCGGGATTTTCCAACGAAAGGAGCGGACTGCAATCCTCACCTGAAAGCATTTGTGGATGCAGACTCCTTGTCGTCCTTCTTTCCGCCTGGGGGAGTTCCGGTCCGGCTGCTTGCTCCGCTATCCTCACCGCCGCGAACAAGATTGCCACCTGGGCCAATAGTTCGACGACCGCTGCTGCTCCGCGAACCTAAGAGACTCGAAGGGCCAAAAGAAGTGGGCTGGTTGGTAGTTCTAGGGGCCTTGAGACGGCGAAGATCATCGCTACCAACTTTGCTTGAGGCATAGTCCAAAGGAGGTTGGTTTCCATAGCCTCCGGAAAAGTTCCTGGCGTCTCCCCGACCAAGTCCAATACCGCCGCTACCTCTGCTGGCTTGTTGGCGTTTTCGTTCCATTTCCTGTTCTTGTTGGGCGCGAGCGGCCTTGTAATCACTGGTTAGCTTGGATGGCGCAACTGATAGTTCAGCCTTTACTTACTTGTTCTCGAATTTCTTGGATGGTCTTCGGACCCTTGTCGGCATCTTTCGAAACCCAGTTGGCTTTTCTGAGATCGATAATGTCCTACGAGAAGAATTTAGTAACGTACGCTCGCCGGAGACAATTAAATTTACAAATACTCACCATGAGCATGAACTTCAATCGACTTGGAAGACCTGGAGTCTGGACCATTTTGTCGATGCGCTCGAAGTAAGCATTCATCATCATGTGGCCCTTGTCGGAGCTTCTATCCAAAGTAGCACCAATAGTACGCAACAAATTCGTCAAACTTTCGATTTCGGCCTCCTCGGGAACACCTTCGTAGTCGACAAGTTTCTTCACACACTCGTGCATAATTCTGTCCGACAGCATGCTCAATTTAAACAGCTCACCGATGAATTTGACGAGACCAAGACCTCTTCGCTTGGCAGCAGCGGCAATATAGTATTCATCGGACAACATGGCCGCTTCGTCGGTGGTACCCTCTGGTTTTGGAGGCAAATTCACCTTCCATCCACGCTCGAACTCCTCTTGACAACGATTCAAAAGGTATTTTCTGAAGAGACTACCTCCACAAACGACGTTGCCATGCTTGTCTTTGATATTCTCGTCCTGGATTTCTGGGCTCATGCTCTCAAGCATGCGCATGCAGAATTTGGCATAAAGAGGAGCCCAGTGCGCTTCGTCTGTAGCCTTCTCGAACGTAAGCTGAATGACCTGTCTGAGTGTGCGACCGTCGGATTCATCCTTGGACTGGGCGACAATAGCAAGGATCTGGTCAGAAATCTTATCAAATTTTTCGGGAGTCATCTTATTGAGATTAGACTTGACTTTTCCTTGCACGACATCCGGTGGAAGGTGACCATCAGGGCCAACAAGGTTTTGTGCCCGACCGATGCTGCGAGGTTTCCATCCACCGGATGAGGGAGCAAGCGGCTCAATCTTTTGTCCAGCAGTAAGAGGCATAGTCTTGTTGGTCTCTTCCTCCTTCTTAGCAGATTTGTGGGCTTTGCTGGCAGAACGACCACCACGATGGCTGCCGGAGCGAGGAGATCCAGGGATTTGCTGGGCGGACGAGGAGCTTGTTCTGCTCATTGGAGGGCCCATCGTTAAGCCACCTGGACCACGGCCAAACTGTCCGAAATTTCCACCCAAAGCCGTTCCACGCATGCCTGAAATCGGGAAACGGTCCTGACCACCCGATGGCATCGTTTGAGTTCTTCCAGCTCCTTGGAACATGCCCATTCGGTCGAAAGCACCTCCTCCGACCCCGGTTCGAGAAGGAGTCCTATTAACAACTGGAGTTCGCATAGCAGAACGGGAATCTGTAGAGCCATCTCCCACCGTTTCACGGACTTTTGTATCCCAGTCTAATGAAGGCTTTTCCTTGAATACATTCTGGAACTGAAGCAAGAATTCTTTGTTATACTTGAACTTGCGATCAGAAGGTGCATTGACGTTAAACGCGGGACTTGGGGAAACAATGGATGGCGGATAAGAAATCTTGCTGGGGTCTTCCAAAAATCTAGCAGTTTGTAGCGATTTTAAAGCAGCACTTGGCTGTGGCGGCTCCACGGTTTTGTTGGTCTCAAGTTTCAAAGCTGCAGGCTTCTCACGCTTACCACCCGGAATATTCTTCGGCGGGCCCATAGACACGTCGGAGACTGGAGTGGCAGCGCCGCTTTCCGCAGGAGTTTGAACCGCAGGAGACTCCGCGGGCGTCGCAGCTTTATTTGTAAGGGCGGCAAATGCGTCCGCTTTCTCTTTCTTGCTAGCCTCGCTTTCAGCTGCGGCAAGTTTCCTCAAACGTTCCTCTTCCGCCGCTTCAGCCTCAGCCTCAGCCTTCTTCATATTGGCCTCGTATGCTTCAGCTTCTTCTTTTGCCTTTCGGGCCGCCTCCTCCTTCTCGCGTTGTTTCTTCTCCTGGTAAGCTTTCTCTCTGGCGAGTTCTTCCGCCTCTTTAGCCGCTAGCTCTCGTTCAATAGCATCAAAGTCAATCTCTTCCTCCGCAGGTTCCGCTGGCTTCGGCTCCTCTTTGAGTTCTGGTTCCTTTTCCGGCTTCTCCGCTTCTTTCGCCGGAGCAACAGGTTCCGTAGTATCCGTAGCGTCTGTGGAGGGTTTTGTGGGTTCAGGTTGCAGGCTTTCTTGCGATTTCTTCAGCTCCAAAGCCTTCTGCTCTTCAGCTGCTTGCTCTGCAGCCATGCGAACTTTTTCATGGAAAGACTGAATCTTCTCTTCTTGCGTCTGAACTTTACTTTCGGCTTGCTCTTGATCGCCACGGCTAGCGGTGCGAGGGGGAGGAGTCGAGGAAGGGGTAGTGCCTAATTTTGCTGGAGAAGGAGTAGCACGAGCGGGAGAATTACCCTGTCTATCAAATGCAACCACGTCACCGCTATTGGGGTTTTTGATAACAACACCAGAGGATCTTTTGGGAAGAACGAATTGAGGGTTAGGGGAAGGGCTGCTAGTTGATCTATTAGGTGTGTGACTAGGTGCCTGAGTCATGGAAACAGAGGATTGCTGTCCGTGACCGAGGCTAGATCCAGGGCGTTCAGCGGCGGGGGCTTGCGGGGTCGAGGTTTGTAGCGATGCCGTTTGAGCAGGGGGGTTGGCTGAACCTGCGTACTGATTCGGCATGAAGGGTGGTTGAGAGCCCATGTACGGCTGTCGGGCAGGACCAGAAACCAAGTGTGGCATGTGCATCTGATACGGATATTGGGTTGGGTAATAATAGCCGCCGGTCTCGTAACTCGCGGGAGGAGCGTAACCCTGAGATTTAATCATAGTTAGACAATGTTCAAAATTTCCACTCTCGGGTGACAATGTGACAGGAAGCGGTGGGATCTGAATTTTATCTGAACGCCTTCGAGGCGCAGGATTGAAGCGTGTGCCATTTTTATTCTTAGGGAATGAATTGCGACGGCCTGAAAACTGGGGAGGGAGGTGTTGCTTTACTTGTTGATGTCCCATATGTTGTGCATAACCAAAATGTTGTGCCTGCATCGGTGGGTTCGCCATAGGGACGTGTGTTGTCGGGGGCGTTGCGGGATTTGCGCTCGCCATGGCAGGGCTTCGAGCGGATTGATGGGGAGAACCTTGGAAGGGGCCCATGGGTCGCCCTTGCGAGTGGAAGTGACCGCTACGCTGGCCATGATGCGATCTGTAGGTCGAACCTGGAGAATTATAGGGAACCTGTGACTGGTTATAGTTTCTTCCTCTCCCACCTTGAGCATGATATCCTCCACGTGTTGGCCCGCTTGGGATATTATGACCACCCATATCCCCGTGTGCAGATTGCGCCGATTCCCGTCGGGCATGGTTGGGCTGGGGATTGTTGGGTAATGGAGGTTGTGAACCTGGTCGTAGATTTCTCTAAAAAAGTAAAAAAAGCACAGGCGTGAATAAGCATCATTTGATACCTGTTGCCAAAAAAGCAAAAAAAGAAGAAGTAATCCTCAATCATTGGTGGGGAAGAAGAGGAAAGGGTACTCACATTCAAGTCATTTTGCTCCCCAGAGAAATTACCGAAGTGCATATTTCCAGGTCCCTGGATATGGGATGGTGGCTGGCGACCTCCGCTGAGAGTTTGAGGGATAGGTGATGGAGAAGAATCAGGTGAAGTGATACGGTTGTTAACTGGGGAGACGCCGAGTGACGACTGCTGGTTTGCTAAAACTGCAGCTCCCATCGACGGAGAGCTCTGTGAGTCGCCAAAGCCGAAGCGGATGTTATTTGGGCGTCCTGAGACAGGACCGCCATTTGAGATAAAACCAGTCGCGCCAGCAGCGCTGATGGTCATTGAGGGTTTTCTTGCATGATCATTTGCGGCAGGATTTCCGTTGACGATGGTGGGGCCACCGGCACCGGGAACAGGAGGGTTTTGCATAGCTGGTTTACCATTCACTTGAGAAGTTGAAGGCGACTTGCCATGCTGAGATCCTTGAGCCGTTGTTGACACGGGTTTATTCGCCGAATCGCCCGCAGCAACTTGCGAAAACGATTTCTTTGTGGCGCTAGCGTAGGAGCGAGGAGCGCTCGGCACAGGTACAGGTGTCAACGGTGAGGTCTTTCCGCTGGAAGACTGTCCTTGGGATGTGCTTTGAGTTTGTGGTTGGAGGTTTGACGTCGGGGGGTTCGATGTCATTACAGGGAAACTCGTTTAGCACGTGGTATTCTTGGGAATAAGAGAGCGTGATGTCGTTAAACGGCGAGTAGTGATCCTGGATTCCAAAGGTCAAGGTCAGCTTAGGGTCGAAGTTGGCTCAACAAAAATTGCTACAAAGCCACACTTAAAAAATATTGGCAGTTTGGTGGAACAGAGAAAAAAAGAAAAGACTGCTAAATCCACATGATAACCATGTTATTCACAGGCTGAGCAAAAGAAAATATGTTAACAGAGCGAGAAAATAAAATATTGATTTTTTTTCCTTTTTTTTCCCCTTTGAAAAAATTTGTGCTGGTGAAGCCTGGGAGGGCAGTTGATGAGGCTCTGCCGAAAAAGAAAAAAAAAAAATCCTGATGGTTGAAATTCACATTGCTGTGCTTCTTCCCAAAGCCCAACTGAGACTGCCTGTAGGGAACCCAAAGTCAAGAAGCTGGAGAGCAACTTACAGATCCTGTATGATAAAGAATCCAGAAGACACTCAGCAGTGTGATGCTGTTTTCAGTGGCCACACAGCGGACGAGTGGACTGACTGAAAGAGATGAAAAAGGAGCAGTGATAGCGGGCGGATGGAACAGAAGACTGTACTATCCGCGATCGTCCTCTTGCAAATAAAGAAGAGGATCCGCTGGAAAAAGAAGAGGACTCTGACTTTGATTTTTGGGTGATGGGTGAAAAGAGTATGGGGGGAGTCGAGAGGACGAGAGGAAGAGAAGGAAGGGCGAAGAGAAGAGGTTTGCCCAGGCAATTTTTTTTTTTCTTCTTTGGTGACGGTGGAATGCAAAAAGAGAACAAAGTTCGCGTCACTCCCTGTACCGATCGTATCAGATACCGTTTTTTACCACCGTTTCGGCTGTGTTTACACGAAAATGCCGCACAATGTACGTGTTTTTACAAGTACTAGTTGTATTTTACGTTGCGCTTCCTGGACAGACAAAAGGCGACGGCAGGAAGCCTGCTGAGGGTCAAATTTGGTGAAGAGCACGCTCGTCTGGAGTCCTTTGACCGTTTCTGAAGACGGAGATAAACCACAGTAACCGTGTCTTTGGAGCCGGCCACACGGTGCAGCGAACGGCCAATTGGCTAACAAAGCAGGATCAAGCAGATTCTGACAGACATGCACCAAAACCCCCGGTCCTCGGAGACGTTTGACATCATCCAACTCGCCTTCACGCCATGGACCGGCTGTTACTGACTCCGCTGATCCCTAGACACATCCAAGCCAGATGTATCTTCTAAACCAGGACCTATGGCACTCTGAGACTCGGGGCCAGTGATCTCCTACATTTAATGGGCTGGACAAAAAATTTCCCCCAGCCGAGCTCTCACAGCGGCTGCTAGTGTGGAAGGGGGGGGCGGGCTGGGTCAACTGCCTCAGATCCATGCACTTCGAACCTAATATCATGCAGACCGACAACAATCATGCATCATATGTACGGAGAACCTTCTGCTCGGGCTATGCAGCCACACACACTGGCGCAAGATCGCCCCTGGTGAAGCAGCCCGTTGTCGCTGTCAAAATGACATAATAAGAGTGGCTCAAACGCTGGATAAACAACCGCCTGTCAACCTCTTCCTCGCCCCGTGTTTTGCTTGCCACCCTGGCCGTTCATTTCACACATGTAACGTACGCTTTGCTGCTATTACTGATAGCCGAGTCCTTACTAGCCACACCCGTTTGTCGAATGATACCGGGGCGGAATGCCGGCACAGGGCTCTTAGCTATTCAATAATCATGCCATCCAATTAACTTAATGAGACGTTTTACAATCGCCGTTTACAGATTCCCCTCTAGAAAGTAGCCATCCGGAGTACTCCGCAGACCCAGAGCAAATCAAGTATACCAAAAGTAATGGCACGTAAAAGGAAGCCCATCCCATCCATAACCCAATGCCAAAAAAAACCGAAATTCAATAAGTAAATAAGTAAAGTAAACTGAATAAAACCATCTAATCCTCTTCTTACTCGTGCCTCCCAGGTCGTCTCCGCCCGGAGCCATCTTTATAAAATGCCGAGGAAGCGCCCAGCTCCTCATGATCTATGTTTTCAAACGAGTTCTCGCTCTGATTCTTCTTCAGTCCACGAGAGTCGGAATCGTAGCTCGTTCCATACGCTAGATCATCCTCCTCACGGCCCTCGAGTCCTAGGTTTCGATGTTCCCGGTCAAGAGCAGAGAGAAGGATCCGGAGCTTCTCCTTTTGCGAAGCGATGTAGCTAGCCTGCTCGTTCTTCGACGCAGATGCAAGGTTATGTGGCAGCAAACCAGTGGCGCTAAGCTCCTCGGCTTGGGTATCGCGGTTTTTTCCCGTCGATGTGACAGCTGTTACAGCTGAACCGAGCATAGAAAAAAGGTCCGATGCGGGCCCTGCGAGATTTGTACCCGTGCCAGCGGGTAGGTTGAATCGGGAGAAGAGAGTCTGTGCGTAGGAAGCGGGTCCGCTCGCAGGAGGCGGAGGAGCAGCTTCGGCTGCCAAAACTGGAGGTAATCCCAGCACTTTTTCTCGAATCAAATCAATTGCCTGATAGAGGTAGTTGAGACCTGCTTCTTTAGCACGTTCATGCGTCTCGCCAATAAACTCCTCGATTTGGCGCTCGTATTGATGAAGAAAAGGGTCAACACGCTCGAGATATAGCTTCTTTGCACCTTGAGTTTGAGGAAGGACGAGGTACGAAAGCGCGAACAAGCGGATCCAGCTATAAAATGGGAACCTATTTTCCAAAGGAGCGAAAGGCTGTTAGTTATGTCCGGGTTCCGATGAGTTAACGGCAGGGTGCTGAAACTGCTGTACCTACCATCCAACAATAAAGAAAGTCCATGATTCAACCAGCAGCACTATCGACAACACCACCCAGTACATCAGCCATGGGGCAATCTGTGATACGTCAGACGTGCGAAGCGCTTTATATGACGCGAAAATCGGGAAAAGGACGGTAAGAACGGAGCTGCATCATCAAAATCAAGATTAGCTCCATGGGCAAGGGATACAGGAGATCACTCCTAACACCTCGGCGTGGCTTTCTGTGATGTAGCAACGAGCCCGGGTTAACTCACGAAAGCAGGTCTGCTATGATGCCAAACATGACGGTTAAGGAACTACTGTACACAGACTAGAAATGATAGCTTTAGTCGGGGGCGTAAACAGAGTACAGCCCAGGAGATGGTTGATATCAAGGGATTGTCGGAGATAAAACTGTGCGAGCAGAGCGAAGACCGACGACGCTGGAAAGCTTGTATTAAAGAGACAATAGAACAAGGCAGATGCATAAAAAGGACATGCAGATCCACGCCAGCCCTCAACGAGCTATGATTATGTATACAGCTGCGGCGAACAATGAAAGAGAATGGAGAGCACACAGCTGATTCACAACTGCCTAGGATGAAGGCCGAATGGAGAGAGCAAGCCGGAGCGTGCGGACATCCTCTCGCTCGGCCAACGTCATTGGCTGGGAGCAGATGACACTTGGCGTTCGCATTCAGTAAACACATGTTTGCACGGTTTGTTCTCGAAGCGAAACGGTCGGCCAGCGGGCTGCATCCCCTGTTCCACTCGGGGTGTTCTCACTGCTATTGACTAACCATAGACGTCTTTAAGCAATTTACCTTGAAGGTGAACTCTTTACCGGTGTGTACGGGAGTGCATATTGCGAAACTTTAACCGTTCTTTTCGAACATCTTGGTGAAATTTACGGGACAGCTGTCAGTTAAGCAAACTCGAAAACGTGCACCGAAAACGGCGAGTCAGCTGTGGCTGCTATTGGTCACAAAGTCGCCCTGGGCCCCTGATTTCTGCTGTCCGGGTCCTCGATTACTCAAGGGATCGAAAGGATAGAGGGGCTGCTCGGATCGGGGACGATGTCTCTCATCAAGAATACCCAGGGCAATGCCACGCGATCTCTCTAGCAATACCGACTAAAGTTGCATGAGAATGGCATGTATTAACGGTCAAACCATGTGCTACGTCTGGTTCTCTCACTATGCTGTGTACTCCGTACATCACTTACATGGCTGAACCACAGGTTTAGACGGGGTAACGGACTGCAAAAAGGCATCCAAACTCTTGGAAGGATCGGTATGGTTCCGTTTCATTTTTTTTTTGAGATGAGACTGCATCGAGAGCGCCCAAACCTTGATTAATTGGCATTGAAAATGTCATTGATCACGCGCTTCCTCGAGTTGAAGTGGGATATCGACACTCTACACATTCGACGGAAGATGAGGAGGTGGATTGAGTAACGGCCATACTGACTGATTGGTCCTCTTCGCGGATGGTTCGAATCGCAAAGCCTGCTCTATATACGAATGCCGCCACAGCGGCTGCCAAAAGCAAGGAGGCAAGAATGCATCTGGTCGATTCTCCTCGACCATCGCGCCAGTACGGAGTATCAAGTATCCAGCCCCATTCATACGAATGGAAATTGTCGTCAAAGACCGGGATCCAGCATCCACGCGGCGTGCGTAAATTCCATGTTGCAGCACCTTGGCAGATGAGCACGGATGCCGTTCACGCCTGCCAAGCGACAAAAAACGCTTTACAGGGCAGTTGATAGCGCAGGTAGGTGCCAACCCATGGCTCCAGCCCTCACGGGGTGTGTTCCATATTTCGTATCGTCCTTTTTTTTTTTTTTTTTGCTTTTGTTACCAGCACGAGAGACCCAGACGATGGCCGTACTTCGCAAGTGTCCTGCCTGTACTCGCGTAAGGTCGATCCATCCTCGCTCGCTGGATTTTCGGGCTTGCTTCCAGGCAGCTCCCGCTGGTCATACCGGAGCACGATATGGCACAGCCGGTCAGGGTTCGGCTTGGCCGCGGAAATGGCTTCTGATGTTCAAAGTTACATTACATAGGGGCGTTCGATCAATACACGGCGATCAGATATGATAACTATGTACGGGGTAAATACCCGAAAAATTTTCACTGGCTGATTGCGCTAACGAAAACCATCGCCTCCACTTCCAGGCTCGGATCACCGCCTAGCAGTGGGGATTTCATCCCGCCATCACCTGAAATCACTGCCACAGGGCATACGGAGTACATATTTCCGAACTGTGGGAAAACAATCCCCTCATCCTAAGCCCGGCTCACGGGAACCCTGCAGTCTAGCCCGGACCTACCAAACAAAACCAGTTGAGCGTTTCCATGGGTTGGGATGGCGCAACCCCAAAGGCAGCTCGCAGACTTGCTCAGACGGGATGTGACCCATCATGTCATCCTGGCCATCCCATTGGCCAAGATTTTTATCAATCTTACGACTCCATACATCCAAGATCAGATTAGAAAAATGTGGGCCGCACTCGCATCAGATAAAATTTCCACCCGTCCTGTTTCGACGGCTGCTCCATCATATGCGTGTTATTCGCAAATCTTCATCCCGATTTTGCGGATACCGGCGAAGACTCTTCTCCATGTAGCGCTCCAATTGGCGTGACGGTGGCCCGGGAAATCCTGCCTGACACAAGAACATACAAAAGTTAGACCCTTGTCCACTTTTCTGCCCGGAGAAGCTCTTCTCTCTCCTCACCCTTCATTGTCGTCGGCAAGGTGATTTTGGCTTGCTATCGCATTCATCCAACTTGTGCGTGAATCATAATGGAGACCACCTATGACGAGAAAAAGGCACCTTCGCCTCCCCTTCCCGCTCTCCAAGACAAAGAGCTACAGACAGCAGACTTCCCCCGGGAAGAAACACAATCCAAATCCATCTTAGGGAAAAAGAGTCCTGGCGTCCAACGAGTTGAAGCTATATCGAAACACTTTCAATTTTCAGATCGGGTCCTATTCTTCTTTGGGATCTTCCTACTTGCCTATGCGTACGGTCTCGATGGCATAATCCGGTTTACTTATCAAGTACGGTTGATCCACAGATGCATTACGGTTTCAATCTCGCGTTAACACCGATATACAGACACATGCAACAGCCTCATACAACACACATAGTTTATTAGCAACGGTCAACGTACTAAGAAGTGTCATTGCTGCCGCTGCTCAGGTATGGTTACATGTCACCACTTTTAAATGTCGAGCGTCATTAAGATCTGCTCTCAGCCCACTGCCGCAAAGATCGCCGACGTCTTCGGGAGAGCTGAAGTGATATTCGTCACAATCGTATTCTACATTGTTGGTGCGGAACTGATTTATTCCCATTGCTCTTCCTCTGATTGCTCATGTTTTGTAGGTACAATTGTTGAAGCATGCTCAACCGACGTTCAGGCTTTTGCAGGAGGTGCAGTTCTCTACCAGGTAATATTTCCTCCACCTATGTGGATAACTGGTTATCTGACACTGGGATAGATTGGTTACACAGGTATCATGTTGCTAGTTGAGGTTCTCATTGCGGACGTCACATCTCTCCGATCCCGTCTTATATTCTCTTACATTCCTGCGACCCCGTTCATCGTGAGTTTGCCTCAAATCGCTCGAGGAGACTGTGGCTTATACTCGGTAGATCAATACTTGGGTGTCTGGTGATATCACTAGTTCCGTTCTTGGGCAGACAACATGGCAATGGGGTATGTCTTACTCTGACTTTTGCCCGAATAGACGACACTGATGTTGCATTATAGGAATTGGGATGTGGGCGATCATTTATCCCGGTAAGTCAACGGTGACACTTCATTACAAAGCCAATCGTCTAACTAGGCACCTTAGTTTGCGCCATTCCTCTCCTCCTCTCGCTTTACATTGTCCACCGGCGTGCGAAAAAGGCTGGTTCCCTCGCCGATTACAAGAGTCCATACGAATTGCTTGGCTTCCGTGGACTGGCGGTTTCCTTATTCTGGCAACTAGACGTTATCGGCATAATCCTTTTAATAGGAGTGTTCGCACTCATTCTCGTCCCCTTTACCCTTGCTGGAGGCGCACAGCTGCAATGGAGGACCGCCAAAATCATTGCGCCTCTTGTCATCGGGGTCTTGCTTATTCCGGTTTGGGTTTACTGGGAAATGAAGTGCAAACATCCCATGGTCCCATTTAGAGTAAGTTCTCTGAAGCGTCTCTCATTTGTCTGACTATATTTGAATCTAATACTCGGGATAGCTGCTAAAGGATCGTGCGGTATGGGGTGCTTTGGGACTTGCGGTTGCGCTCAACACCGGTCAGTGCCAACATCATGCCCCATGGCCCAGTCACTAATTATATGCCCCTTTACAGCTTGGTATATGCAAGGAGATTTCCTATATACGATTCTTGTCGTCGCTTTCGACGAGTCCATTAAGAGTGCTACACGCATCACGTCTCTTTACAGGTAATAACAACCTTATTCGTAGATATGCCGGCAACAGCTAAATATTCTCAGCTTCTGCTCCGTCATCACGGGATGTATTACCGGTTTAGTTGTATTCAAGGTCCGCCGACTCAAACCGTTTATCGTCGCTGGAACGATACTGTTCCTCGTCGCTTTTGGCTTGCTCATTCATTATCGTGGTGGGACTGGCTCAGCTAGCCATTCTGGTATTGTTGGTGCTCAAGTTCTTCTTGGAATAGGTCAGCTACCCTTCCATTTATGCCATATTTGTTTATTTGTACTGACAGAACTTTAGCTGGTGGATTGTTCCCCTATCCAGCTCAGGCCAGTATCCAGGCCGCAACCAAACACGAACGTGAGTGGCTCCGACCAGGAAATCGGTCAGTATGAATCTAACCTTTGAAATTTACAGACGTCGCCGTTATCACTGGATTATACCTCGCTTGCTACTACATTGGCTCTGCAATCGGAAATTCCATCTCCGGCGCCTTATGGAACCAAGTCCTCCCCAAGACCCTAGAAACTAGACTCGGCAATGCCACCCTGGCAGCGGAGATTTATGGGGACCCTCTGAAATGGGCCAATGCCAACCCCGTAGGAACGCCTGACAGAGACATTGTGATTGAGGCATACCGACACATCCAACGGCTCCTATGTATCACTGGCATTTGCCTATCGGTGCTAATCATTTCTTTCGCGCTGGTTCTGCGCGATCCGATCTTGACAAATGAGCAGAGTCTTGCAAATGCGGAGAAGTATGATGGCGAGACTTCTAGCTCCGAAGATGCGGATAATTGAACGAAAAAGAAAAAGTACTCTGTGTACCCTTTTTTTTTTTTTTTTCTTTTGCCCTTTGATATCGACAATTGATAACAGTGGTCGACCCACACATGCTCCAACATGGGGGTTTCAGGCTATAAGTGCTTGAAGGAGTTAGTGCTGTTTATCCAGGCAATATTGCTTTTTTGTTTGCTTCGGATGATTATGATTATAATTCTGGAGGGCTCAAATGCCATTATATTCAGGTAACCAGGGCATGAGTTTGATCGACTCATTTATTAGTAGGTCAGTACAGAGTTCATCTCTGTAGTTACAATTAAAGTAGATTGGTATTTGTTTCTTGATCACAGAGAACTCCTGATTCTTTATCCACGAAAATCTTAAGTTGCTGTCGTAACACTCTCTCTTAACTTCCCATACGCCACCAAATATTCCAGAGATATAGTACAGTAAATGCCGCGGCCTGTCGTTTGTATGTGAATGGTCTTCGTAATATTCTTCAGCTTCCAATCCAAGAGGGAGCCGCGTCCGAAGAGATAAAAGCATACTTTCAACACTCTGGTCCTTCTTCGATATTCCTGCCTCAAGGATCTCAAAGAATCCAGCTCCCAATCGTTTGTCATCCCCCTATCTCGTTACCTTCCAAGGATACGATACATCATCGTCTTTCCTGAGCCAAATCTTCGACTTTCGTTTGGTCACTTGATGCTCGACAAAAATCTCCTTCGCGTACTGGGCTTTGAATTTGCGAATCCAGCGCGGATCCCACAGCTCGCTAGCCACGCCCAAATCCTTGCAGCAGCGCATCATGGCGTTGGATTTACAACCTTCCGTGGCTGTGGGTATTCCGTCGGGGTTGAAATAGTCCTGTTCGCCACGCGCAATAGATACGAGGCTAGAAAAGTCAGAAACAAGGTCGCTATACCCATCTCATAGGTATCCAGTTCGAAAAGGAAAGCCGACAAAAAAAAAAAAAAAAAAAAAAAGAAAAAAAAAAAGAACCTACCGCCCATGTGCAACAAGGGCATACTCCCTCGTCACCGTCTTCGGCGTGACTATACTCTCACTCCGCGGCACCAAGCCCCATCCTCCAGGACCAAACGCCTTGTTCAGGATCCGCCTGTACTTGATTTCCGGAAGGTACACGATTCCGTCGGGCTTAATTTCGACGTCCGACGGGTCGAGGGCTTGCAAAAGGATGTTGGCTGCTTCCTTGGAGAAGGGTTCGGCACTGAGGCCGTGGTAAGATCGTGTCCAGTCTACGTGTCCATTGGGCGTTGGGCTGCCGTTGGCGTCGAGATCTAGCTCCGGGGGCTTGTCGTCGAGGCCGTTTTTGGAGATGTTTTGCACGGTTAGAGGGTTTTTTGGGGGTGGAGGAGCTTGAGCTGGTGTAGTAGGTTTGGGAGCAGCTGGGGCAGAGGGTGGCTTGTTATTATTAGGAGCATTAAGTTGACTGGCAATCGTGGAGGTTCTGAGGGTACGGAGAGGTGCTGTTCTTAGGAGAGCACTCTGAAGCTGTGAACGCCCATTTGAGGCGGCGTGGATTCGTAGGTATGGGGATGGGCATAGGCTGATCAAGGCCCGATCTGCATGCCGGAGTGCTCGAATTGCCATTTCCACGATCCCTAGGCTGTCTGGCTGCAGGATGGAAACGCGATCTGCGAGAGTTGCTGCGTCGTCTCCGTGCTTTTGGCTTCACGCGTCGGGAGTTTGAAGCAGAGCTGTCACGTGACACAGCAGGCGCCGACGGCGACGACGACGACAAGAAGAGAAAAAAGGGAGTGAGACAGAAATTCAGAAGATGAACGGAGATGGATTCGCTAAATAATGTACAGAGATGATGATATTCTAGTCACGGCTGTCTCTTCGCCTTCACGCGTCCTTCGTCTGGGTCCGCTGGTCGTTCCCCTTGCGTTTCCAGCACTCTCGGAACGCCTCCATCTGTAGCAAAAATCAACCTCAGCAGAAAGCCCTCCTATCCCAATGTAAATCCACGGTAATTATTCGACGATGGGTTTCTTTTACGGATAAAGTGGGAAAATAGAGCGCCGACTGGTCTTTTGGGCCGAAGACAACCGCGGGCTCTCCAAAGATCAGAAGGGCAAAAAAAAAAAACTTACTTCTTTGCTGCACTGCCGCCAGTCTCTCTTTTCGAAGTAGCAGTCGTTCATTTTCGTCTGCTCGACTGTCTACCTGTCAGATCCTTGCCTACTGCTGAATACGCTGCCCCGACGTGGGAAGCAGCCGGAGTTTTTCCTCACCTGAACAGCCTGTGCTGAAGATCCGCTTGTCCCTACCATCCGGCTATCAGCATCACCCGCATCCGTGGGGCTGTCGAGGGGCATACCAGTCATCAGGTTCATCGTCGTCCTCAACCGGGACTATTCTCGCTTTGTCGTCGACCTTGGACATCTTGATACCCTCTCTCTCCTCTCTTTTCCCTAGGGGATTGAAGCAGGTGAGACCGAAAAGAGATTTTCGCCGGCAAATTCTTCCGCGGAGGTCCAAAACTATGGCCGCCACCTCGACGACCACTTCGACCAAACGGCTCAACATCCTGGTCTATTCCGGTGGGCAAAGCTACTCTGATTGGAGACGCAACGTTCTGACGGATTGTTCAGGGAATGGGACCACTGTGGATTCTGTCCGCCAATGTCTGTTTTCACTTCGTCGCCTTTTGGCACCGAATTATGCTGTTATACCCGTGACGGGTGAGATGATCATCAATGAGCCATGGACGTCGAGCTGTGCTCTCTTTGTCATGCCTGGTGGTGCCGATCTGCCGTATTGCAGGACCCTGAACGGCACTGGGAACCGGCGGATTAGCCAGTTCGTTCATCGAGGCGGCGCATATCTAGGATTCTGCGCAGGCGGCTACTATGGAAGTAAGCGTTGCGAGTTTGAAGTCAGAAATGAGAAGCTCGAGGTTGTCGGTGATAGGGAGTTGGCTTTCTATCCCGGAATCTGTCGCGGTTGCGCATTTCCAGGGTTTGTCTACAATAGCGAGGATGGCGCCAGAGCTTCTGAGTTACAAGTGTCGAAATCCTCGTTCCCTGACGAAAAACATATCCCGCCCTCGTTCAAGTCCTACTATAACGGTGGAGGCGTCTTCGTTGATGCTCCAAAATTCGCCCATCAAGGCGTCGAGGTCCTTGCGGACTACACTGAATCGCTCAAAGTCGATTCGGGAGAAGGCCATGCAGCAGTCGTTTATTGCCGGGTCGGCGAAGGTGCTGCCGTATTAACAGGACCACACCCAGAGTTTGTATCCTTAAATGCCAATGTTTCCGTGGATAGGCCTCAACTAACCGCTCTTAGATTTGCGGCGTCCAACTTGGATAGAAACGCAGATGGCCCGGAATTCTGCCACGTCATTGATACTCTAGCTCAGAATGATGAAGCGAGAACCGAATTCCTGCGAGCTTGTCTGAAGAAGCTTGGGCTCCATGTGAACGATGAAACAACAAGGGTACCTCCTCTTTCTCGAATGCATCTTTCTGCCCTGGAGCCACATGCTGCTACGGACCTTGTCTCACTGCTTCGAGATATTATCACGGTGGAAGATGGGGAAGAGTACATTAAAGATGACAATGACACCTTCCATCTAGAAAAACCGTCTTCGCTGAGTATGGACAAGGTTGCCGAAGCGCTCCCCGGCTCCATCGAAGCAAAGGCTGACCAGGACTCGACGGGTGATAGAATTGTCGACTATGACAAGGTTATAAAAAAAGTCGCTATTCATGAAGATTATCCCTCTCCGGTCGAAACCCCGCGATTTAACCATCAGACTTTCTACGGTATGATTAAGGAATATAGATCGCAGTCGAGGGAACGTCTCTCGGAGTTCGGTTCGCACGTCTTATATGCGGAAGTTGTTACGAGTACGAACACTTTACTGGAGAAGTGAGTATAGACTATGTTTCTTCAGTAACATCCAGCTTGCTAACGGCGAAAGGAACACACAAATCCTGCGAAGACTTCCAAACGGGTTTATGGCAACGGCAAATGTCCAAGTCGCTGGTCGCGGTCGCGGCTCCAACGTCTGGGTGTCTCCACCGGGACAGCTCATGTTTTCAATATGCATCCGTCATCCAGTTGAGAAATTCGCAAGTGCTCCAGTCGTTTTCATCCAATATCTCGTCGCAATGGCCATCGTCAAAGGCATCAAAACCTACGATAAGGGATACGAAAACATGCCCGTGAAACTAAAATGGCCAAACGACATCTGTAACCCTTCCCCCAACAAATACCCTTCAACCAAAGCGCATTGCCACTAACACACACACCTCCCAGACGCTCTCGACCCCTCCCAACCTGACAAAATGACCTACACCAAAATCGCCGGCATCCTAGTCAACGCCCACTTCTCCTCCAAAGAATACATCGCCGTCGCCGGTGCCGGCATCAACGCCCTCAACGCGCTCCCAACCACGTCTCTTAACGCCATCCTCGCCACCCTCAACTCTTCTCTCCCCGCCAACAAACCCCGCCTCCCCCCGCTCTCCCTCGAGAAACTCCTCGCACGCATCCTCACTACCCTGGAAGAGCTCTACACCCGCTTCCTTCGCACCGGCTTCGACCAGACCTTTGAAGATATGTACTACGCGGACTGGCTGCATATGGATCAGATAGTGACGCTGGAGGCTGAAGGGGATGTGCGGGCGAGGATCAAGGGGATTACGAGGGATTATGGGTTGTTGGTGGCGGAGGAGTTAGGGTGGGAGGATCGGCCGACGGGGAGAAGGTGGGAGCTGCAGAGTGATAGTAATAGCTTTGATTTTTTCAAGGGGTTGGTGAAGAGGAAGATTTAATGAGAGAGAGGGACAAAGCTATTATTGTTGACTCTGGATTACGGGGAATCGAGATGATTGCGGATGATCCGGGTTCCATTCGATGATAAGTATATCCAATCTACATAAAAAGGCGGTTTAACAGGATTTTTCCGTTTCATCTCACTTTTTTTTCTTCTTTGTTATTTTCCTCTATCCTCGTAGTGAAACATGCGAAATAGCCAACTCCACACACCAACCAGTGTCAAGATAACTAAGAGGATAGAAGCAAAACCAGGCAGACGACATTTCAAAAACATTGAAATTCGTGATTCGATCATAAAACATCATGAGGCTAAGTAGGTAGTCCGGGAAGACTAAATATGTAGGAGTTTCGATTGTTGAGAAGTCGCGGCTTCGGCGAAGGGAAAAGGAAAAGGGGGAAGAGAGAGAGACGCGAAATAGCCAGCGAAGAAAGGGAATATGTAGGTTATTTCGGCGAAGAGGGTATCGATAGGAAACAGGATGTCCGGAGAGGTGACTGAGTTACTTGTCAACGGGTTTGAGGCCGAGGATAGCCATGAAAATTGCGTCGGGCGATAGAGATATCAAGGGCCGTAAACGCCAGAGAAGCAACCATTTTGAGGCTCTGAGGAAATTCGTATATCACGATTGCGCTCCATATTCCTCGGCGATGAACTCAAACGTCCGGTCACCCTTCCCGATCGGAACCGGCCTCGCATCGTCATCATAAAGCGTTCGCTCAAAGAACTTGACCCTCCCCGAATGATGCACTAGAACTACCGTTTGCTTCTGCGTCCCGTACAGGCCTTTCATATACCGCATATGATTTTCTGATGCGTTGCCCATAACCTCCGCCTTCTCATGAATATTTGACGCACAGATCTCCGCTTCCTCCCTCGTATCCTCCTCTTCCTCTCCAATCACAGGGATAAAGATACTCTCACACAACAGATCGATATACGTCTCGACATCCGCCCCTTCCTTCAGCCTCGGCAGTGTATCTGTGCTCAACAGCCCCAGCAGCCTCTGCACAAGCTGATCCTCGCTCTCCCCCATCTTATAACTCGTGTGTAGCGCCTCCTTCATCAACCGCTCTCCATTCCTGATCTTCGCCCACGAGCAATCCCCAAACGCCGTATTACTCAACACAACCGTCTCCCCTTTCTCCTTCGCGATCCACGCCACTCCATCCTTCGCACACACCCGATTCGACACGACCGCCAACGGGCCCTGGATGCTGCCGCATGCCAGGCTAAACCCACCGGCCAACTGCGCCTCTCCGCCCGCGATCAGCCGCTCGACGTACTCCTCAGTGCTCACGGAGCCATCGGGTGGCAGCTCCAGGAAGGAGTTGATGATCTCGCCACGACTCAGCTGTCCCACGGCCTGGCTGGAGGCCTCTTTATAGTTTGTTAGCACGGCGATGCGGCCTTGCCGGGTGACGCCCAGCCAAGTCCCGTGGGCGGCGCGTGCCATGTCCCGGGAGCCGAGCACGTAGGAGTGTGGCTCTGGCCACCAGGCTGCGGCGGCTGTTGGGCGGCGAAGGAACTCCTGCAGGTTGGAAAGGTTAGCACTCTTGATTCTCCCTGGGGTTGAATAGCTGGGGGCGAAGGGGAGTGTACATCTCGATTGTCGATTAGGATTAGAGGGTAGTCCGGGTGGGCGGTGGAGATGAGAGCTATGCACATGATGGCAGCTCAGAATGATATCCTCTTTTGGGGAGGGAGGGGGAGGGGGAAAGGGAGATAAATTGTAAATAAAAAGAAGTCTCTCAAATAAAAAATGAAGATATTATCCTTTTGACAGAAGTTCCGGACACTCGATGAGGATTGAGCGACGGATGCCTTCAAAGTCCTTTCAAGAAAGAATAAGTTCTGCGCAAGTCTATAAACACTGACAATGATGCCTCTCTAGTTGTTCTAGGAAAAGCAGTCCCGGGCAAGAATTCGCAAAGGAGAAAAAAAGTCACATAGGAGAACAACCGATCAGTCAATCGATATTACTGAGGTTGGCAGAGCAGGCAGAGGGGCCTCGTGACTCTCAGGACTCTTCACGACGGCTGGGTTACCGGTGATGTACGTATATAGCTATCCTCAGCTCCTTTCTATCTGTCGTCAAAGCGTCAAAACAGGCCCAGAAGCCAACTCGTTGTCGCAAAAAAGCCAAAGAACGAGAGCAGACGAGGGACAGTTAAACTCCCGGGTGCACAGCTAGTCAACCCGCCAACTAAAACTCTCTCTCACTCTCAACAATCCCGAGGATGAAAAAAAAACTTGAAGGCGGTGAATTTTCTAGGTTTGCCATCGGCAGGAAAAAGCCAAAAAGGAGTCAGAAAACCAGCGTGACATCAGCGCTTCTCAGGTGAAAGGGAAAAAAAATAAAAATAAAAAATAAAAAATAAAAAAAATAAAAATAAAAATAATCAACTTCCTGCCCGACGAGCTGGCAAGGCCAGTCCAACCGTCACCCAAGTGGGCATCTGGCCGCTCAGAACCGAACCATCTCATAGGACGGGGCCTTTTCGCCTCGTAGGAGGGTCGAGAAAGGGCGAGAAACTCTCCCCGCCAAGACGAGAACGAGTGAACGAATGGTGGTGGATGCTGATGACGGCTGGTGTCTGCACTGTCACGATGAGGCCTGCTTGAAAGCAGCACCGGTTATTTGGTTATACGGTCCATACCTCGGCGCATTTGAGATAGTTCCGCTAAAGGAATCTATAGAACTGCCTGACTTGAACCGTCATTCATACCGGGACGAAAAAGGAGTAAGATGATTCAATTGGGGCTGTATCTAGTTACTAGAGCGATCTTCACAGCGAGCCTTTGAACATCTTTTCTGCCTGGCAAAACCTTCATCTCCAGCCGGGCATTTCGGGCCGCAAGGGCTGTCAGCTTTTCAAATCCACACAGCTGCAGCTCCTGCCTCGATTCATTTCCTTTTTGTTCAACACCCAACTTCGCAATGAAGTTCAGAGACGTCACATTAACCGAAAATTACCCTTCAGGGAGCCAATTGCGAAAAAGAACATACCGTCTGGTCCCATTTTCAGTCAGCATGGCTTTGGAAACTTGAGAATCAAGTTCTCTGCATTCTCCGCTCCAGAGGGAATTGGACGAGTCAAATGAGCGGGGATGTACTCTACATGCAACGATATCAGAGTTGAAGAGGGGAACCACAAACAGACAAGAAATTGCAGGAAAAGCTTTGATAAGCTGGCCAGGGAGATCAGTAAGAGAGGCCCAGCAGGCGGAGGATCATAGGCTGGATATGGCATAGCGGAACTCAAGTACAAAAAAGAGGACCTTTGTTGTCAGAATGAAGGCTTGTTCCTTGGGTCCTATCCTCTCCACCCAGTAGGGGGGTCGTCACAACAAAAATGAGGCGAGAAAACCATGTAGATAGTTGATCTGAATCCTCCCAGCAGGAAGGGATGCAGCTACTAGTTGTAAATCTCAACACAAAAGCCCGGCTTCCACACCCCAACCTAAGCAGACAGCATCAACTCCCGGACAAGCGACCTTTTGCCATTTTCCCCCTAGTCATCGACAGTCATCGACAGTAACTGTGTCCATCGTATCATTTCCGCAATCCACAGCGGCAGTTTTATGTACACCCGATATCCATCCCACGTAACAACCCGTGGTCTAAAAGAGACAATAGTCATATTATATCAAACAGTAGAAAAAGATAAAAAGCTAGCCTTAAAACAAAAACCAAGGCTATTCGAGGGGGGCTAAAAAAATAAAAATAAAAAAAAGATGGGAGTTTATTATCTCATCTCACATTATAAAAACAAGCAAATGTCTATTTTTCAAACCGTTCTTTTTCTTTTTCTTTTTCTTTTTTGTTTTTCCCTTGATCCCTCTCGCCTCTCACGAAGGTGGATATCGTTGATTTGACGGTCCCTGTTGATACGGGTTCTGCCCAGTCGAGTACCCTGCCGGGGGTGGTACAGGTCTTCGGGCCGTTTCAGGCCCTTGGCCTGATCCTACCAGTGGGGCCGGGGTCGGCTGCTGGAACCCAGGTGCCTGGCCGGACTGTAGGGATTGACTAGAAGGGTTTTGTCTGTAGGGGTTTTGACTGCCCGATTGTGATTGTGGCTGGGGGAATTGCGACTCGTAGCTAAAGTAGCCCATTTCCGGGAGGCTAGGTGCGAGATTCTCTTCAGGCGTGTTGGGAGAGACCGCGGACGAGAGTGGGTTTGCGTGTCGCATGCCCGTGGAAGGCTGGCGGAGCAGAGGCCCGTCCTCGCTCACTCTTATCGTTGGCAGCTCATCGGTTCGGGTGCGATCCAACGCAACTGGACGTTGGTTCAGGGCGTCCGCGAACGTTGCCTCGCTACTACCGGCCGGTGGGCTGCGATACGAGAGACCGCTTGGGGAGCCTAGGGCATCATTTCCAGTGGCTTGGGCCCTATCATCGGCCGGCGACCTCTCGGACAATTTTTGCATCTCACTGGTTGGAACCATACGCTTGCTTTCCTTGTCGGCACTAAATTGCTCCTTGTTCGCTTGAGCCTGCTCATGCGAAATAGAAACCGAATACGAAGGCTTGGATGCGTCTCCAAGAGCTGCATCGCCGCCTCCAGGGCCATAAATCGGAATTTTGCGCAACGCCAAAACCAAAGCGCACATGAACTTTGAGCGACGAGCGGCACGAACGGTCTCGTTGGACCAGTTGGACTTGTGCCGGATCTCGATCTTCAATTCCATCTTATCCATATTGCCAACGCCAACCACTTCGATGTCAACGTCGGCTTGGAAATCGCGGCAATTGTCCTTGTCAAGGACAAACTTCTGCATCTCCTGTTTCAACAGCTGGACATCCTCAAACGTAGTCCCAAAATCCACTGTTAAGGTGAGTTGCTCTTTCATCGCTTTCGATCGACTGATATTCTCGATCCAGCAAGTGTTCAGCACGATATTCGGAACCTGCGTCACTTTGAAGTCGTTGATATTCTTGAAGACCGTGAAGAGCAAGGAGATGCGCTCGACGATCAGTTGATTGCTGTTGATATCCACCCGGTCTCCGACATCATAAGGGTGCTAATGGATACATTGGTTAGTATCTGTACAACTTAATACCAAAAAGGGATGAGCCCCAACCCACTTTCACAAACAAGAAGATGCAAGAACCCAAAACTTCTTGAGCGGTGACCGCAAACACGAAGGAGAGCGACAGAAGCGCAGTCGCTCCGGCCGCAAGAGTGGTACCGAAACCCTTGTTAAGGAAGGCCACTTGAATCCTCGTTAGCACCAGCCTGCAAAAATAAAAAGAAAATATCAAGGGCCGAATCATGCCATACCAAAAACCAAGATGACCAAGATGAAAACCACCGTGCAGAGGAGGTTATCCAGGACATGGATCGCCTGATCAACATCATGCATGCTCTTGGCTATGGCCTGTCTGTCTCTCCCGAACTCGGTGATGGTGAGGATCATCTCCTCAAGGCTGATGTCGCCATTATTATCTCTATCCAAAACAGCGAAGCATTCTTCCGCCTCCGCGCGGCGATCAGGTCCAAAAACCTCGTAAAGATCGTCGATGTAAAGCGCCTCACGGCCCGCAAGGACAAAGGACATCCACAGACGTCTCGCAAGAGCTTCGGACGACGAGCGCTTCTCCAAGGCCAGCGTGACAACCGAGTGAACGGCAGTGGGGTTGAAGACCTGTTTACCGGTGATCTCATGAGCAACTTGGCCAAACGCAGCGGTGATCTTATCCCCGACACGGCCGACATTCTGTATCAGACGCATCGGAGAGGCGGAGCCGGTCCTCTTGTGGGCCCTGCCTTTCTTCCCGAGCACGCCAACAATTGAGTCATTGATGATGTAGTCTTCGGCTTCGAACTCCTTGCAATACTCCGGAAACATCTTTCGGGAAGCCTGGTAGAGCAAACCCACAAGATGAACATTTCGCTTTGAGGCTTGGATCCTCAAGTCGAACTGTTTGCGGTGGTAGCTTATCGAGATCAGCTGAATGAGAACCTTTTCCGCAGCGAGAATCAAGCTGGAAATAAACGCAGCAAACAAAATGTTCTTAACTACATCCTCCCACTTTTTGATCGCGGTGTCGCCTCGGCTCACATTATCGGGATTCCGTGTCATCAACTAGATATGCATCCCCAGATTAATCGAAATCATCCAATGTAATCTCCACAAAGGAGGTAGATAGGCATCGCCATGTACTTACCGGGATAAATGTGGCCAACGAGGTCACCGACCATCCAACCAATGAGAAAGGAATTTCCAAGTTCCGAAGTATAAGAGCGTACTTCCTCGTCCCGGAGCTGACGATTCCGCAAAGAAACTGGAAAAGGAACGGGATATAATGCGCGATAATCTTCGAAACCCATAAACTCAACCAGACGACTTCCACCCAGGTGAAAAACCAGACGATCCGAACTCCTCCAATCCGCGCATTCTGCGCAGCGGTAGCCCCGATAATGATGGGGATAGCGATGAGCAACGCCAACGGCAGAACATAGATGAAATATCTAGTAACGACAGAAAAATTCAGAATCTTGTTGTAAAACCGGCCCATCTGGGTCAACGTCCCATCCTCGGGTGCCTGGAGCTGCCGGCCAGTTCCATCGCTCACCACCCTGCGACCGTGGAACAGGTGGTTTTTCTCGAGGTGAGGTGAGGACGGATCGTTGGACGCGATGTACTCCGCGCTGGCCTTGCGGCCACCGGTCTGGCTGGGCACAGTGGTCAGGGGAATGTTGATGGTTGCATCGTTCGAGCTAGCCATGTTAGTATCCGGCAGCTGCTGGAATCTGGAATGAGAAAACCGCTTCTGGCCGATCCCAGGCCGTCCGGTCATCGGCAGGAGAGGGACTACCCCGGGTCGAGAGGGTAGGTTTTAAAAAAAAAAAAAAAAAAAAAAAAAAAAAATAGGACAAGGGAGGGGAAGCGGAGGGTCGAAGCGTCGAGCGGCAGGGCCGGATTTGAGAATTATGTTTTTCCCCTCACCTCCGTGGTGCCAACGAGCCGAATATTCCCCCCACCTTATTTTTCTCTCTCGGCTAAGATATGCCTTGAATTGAGTGAGGGTCCGATAACACGGGGGATCTTCAGATGTGAGAGATCGTCGTGTGGAGGAGGCAGGATAGCGTCGAATCGACCGCCAGAAAGAAACAACAAAAATGAACGAAGGTTAGAAGATTCTTTCCCCACGAGCAATTGTCTCAAATAGACCAGCGGGAAACGAAAGTGAAGGGGAGGGAAAGGGGAAAAAAAAAAAAAGGTACAAGACGCGAGCGATGAAACGAGTGTGGCGAAGAGAAGGACGGGGCTTAAGGCCTTGGTCCGATCGCGTACCGGAAAGGTGATGTCAGGGACCAAAGGAGAGTCAGTCTTCTCAGGAAGATTCCATGGACATGCTCATCACGGACGACGGATGGAACTGCAAATGGGGAGAAATGGCCCTTGGTTTCTCAAGCAGCGGGCAAGGACCAGGGAAAAAGAGAAAATTAAAGGCGGTCGAGGTAGCACCAATTTTATATGGGCAGTTACAAGCGTGATCATAAATAGAACAAGCGGGCCGCCATGTTCTCCCATGCTACTAGAATTCTGGGCCCGGGTTCCTGTGTGCATGTTTCATCCTTTTAAGCCGACACTAACTAGTTCAGCATCTGGGTGAATTGGCCAATGGTACGCTAGAGTTGAGAAATGAACAGCCTGAAGCATCCAGTTACAAGGGGGGGAAGAAACCCCCGTCATCGAAAGGTGTGGCCCTCTTTTCTTCCGTGGCGAGAGACGGGGACATCCTCAATTGACCACTGGAGGCCCCAGGAACCAGCCATCCCCACAGCCATTAACGAGCTATGTAGGTCTGGCCCAAGCTTGGACGCGGAAGAGTGCAAACGGCCTGAAAATTTTTGATTGTACAGCCCGTACCATGTCTGGGAAAAGCAATCTTTTGCTCGTGGAGCAGAAAATGGAGTATTAAGTAAAGTACGCTATGCTTGCAGGTTTTCAAATCCATCAGGGGAGTTTATATAAATGTCGTCAGCTAGTCTCAGCGGAGAGAAACATGCCAGAAGCTTGATTCTTGAGGACGTTAAGGCTGAGGCACAAGACATCGGCCGGTAAGTTCACAATCCACAGCGATGGCGCGCGCGCCCCCACACAAAGCGGAAAAGAAAGATCTGGGCCACGCCACCTTCTGTTTCAGCTCCCCTTTTTTATTTTTTTTCCCAGCTTTTTGGGGCCCCATCCGTCCACCTCTTCTTCCCAAGGCCACGGTGTGTACGGAGTATGCGGAGCGAATTGCGCGTCACCTCTGGATATCCTGCTTTCCCAGTGTCACTCGGGTACTCTGGCAAGCCGGGCCTGTTACTATTCACAGGTGAATAATGAGCTGGTTTCTTTATTCTCGCTGCGAACACCCGCCCGGGGATCAAGGCCAAGGTGGGAATCTGTCTCCGGGTGCTCATTCCAATATCAATGAAACGAGTCGAATGAAACAGTAAAAAAAAAAGAAAAAGAAAATGAAAGGAGCGGGAGGGTCACGGGGACGCCAAGCCTGCCTAGGTAACTTAAATTGTTGCCATTGATGAGATAAGCCGGATCTACAATTATCCTGAGCCGAAATGCAAACAAAGCAAACCACTAGTTAGTTAGTTTAATGTTAAATGTCTTGACTAAGCGAAGAAGGGCTTGGTCACAGCGAAACCGCGGCGGACGGAAAAGCGGCGGCGGACAGATTCAAAAAAGGTTACGGGCGACGATCGATCGCTGTGGGCTGCTGCGGCTGCCACTCGGTCCTTGGGAGCCGGGACGCGTGTCAGACGGCTCACATCGTTCCACGGCGGATGATCTAATGCTGAGGAATCATCGTGGATGGTCCGGAGCAGGACAGCGTGTGTGTATACATCTACATGTATATGTGTGTATATACATCTCCATGTATGGGTGTGTCACGGAGTACAGGATGGAGTGATCCAAGATCTTTGATATTATTGAGCGAGCGTCCAGCTATGCCTGTTATTTGCGTTGCCTCCTTGGAATGTCTGGACGTAGCGTGGCCTCCACGTTCAAACCTGCTTTCCTTGGATGAAGTCCTGTACCAACCTCGTGGGGCCGTTGGGACGTTGTTTGCAGGTTTTTTGTGGGCAGCAGAAATTTCCATGGATCGGTTGAGCAGTCCTTGGATGGTTTGAGAGAGTACATCCATACTCCGTACGGAGTACTCCGGGGTAAATATTACTTTTTTTTTTTTGATAAAGTGTGTGTGTGTGTGATCTGCAAGAAATTCCGAGCAAGTAGGCGGACCGACGACCTGGCAGGGCTGGGCGAGAAGTCCCGGAGGATGGAATGATGCCGGGGTGCCTCGTAGTTATTAGCCAACAAAGCCCGGGGGATTGCCTCTTTTTAAATTTTTTGAATTCTTTTTTTTTTTTTTTTGTTTTTCCTCCCGTCGATCAATGGCGCGGTCACGGAGAGGAAAATATGCGAGATTGGGAGATCATCGTGCCGTGAACGAGAACGAGGGGAGGGGCGGATATTTAATACAACCAGCCGGAAAGGCGACCTTCAGCTCGCTGCAGGACCAAATCCAATTCGTTCCCCGGGCCAGCCGCGGTCAACCCCCCGTCGACCCCCTCGCCCTAACCCCCGGCCACCCCTAATCTCACGGCAGGGCCAAGGCGCGCATCGCTCCCCACACGGCGGCGCATAAACCCCGGCCGGCCTTATCGATAAGGGACCCCAGCCCGCAATCGTCATCCAGCGTGTCCCATTTGTCTCTGTTGCTGTCTCTCTCTCTCTTCTTCTCTCTCTCTGTGTTTGTCTGTCTGTCTGTCTGTCTTGTCTCTCTCTCTCGACACGGACGCTGGACGGAGAGACATGCAACCAGTAATTACGGAGTAGTCTTAGTACCTAATCAAACCAGCTCGCTCCTGTCTACGACCCATTTTCTCTTGTAACTGAACATGTTACACCCCCCAGCTTGGATCGATGGGTAGACCCTGCTCCCTTCTCCTGCCTCCTCATTATTATTTTGCTTTCGTCGAACAACACACAACACACACACACTCTCTCTCTCTCTCAAACCCCCCCTTCTCCCCTCCCTCGTCGTCGGATGACCCGGGGTTTCAAGGGTGGCGAGGGGTGAACGACCCAAGCTGTCCGCGTCACCGTGAATCCAGGGACTGTAGTACGTCGAATTGTCGCCCGCTTGTTCTCTTTCCACTCACCCTTCCCGCCACGGCCCTCTCTTTTTTTTTCCCTTTTCTTTTTTTTTTTCTTTCCTTTTTTCTTTTTTTGCCCGTTTCCCATTCGCCGTGCTCCGAACTTACGGTGTGCCTCTTCACCCCTTTCGTCCACCGAGACACCGCCTGGTGAAATCATCCGAACGGGCTCACCAACCAGGCCAATTAGCTCTGGGAAAGCTTGTTCCTCCTTGCCTGCGCCAATCTCCCTTCAAACAGGGCTCTGGGGTTGTTTGGCCTGCAGGCAGTCTTTCGCTCATACTTGTTATTTTTTTTATTTTTTTATTTTATTCTTTTTTCCTTTTTCCCTTCTGGTCTTCCACAGAAAAAGGTACATGTTCCCCCCCCCACTCGCCGGCTGTTCTTTGACATACGTGTCTGGCTCAGACCATCAGATCTTTGATTATTTTATTTTATTTTGTTTCCTTTTGTCTATGTCTATTTTCCCTCCACCCCCCTGAGCATGCTTTTTGAGTGATATTATCCTGTTAATTTTGATCTGTGTCAAACTTTCTCTATTGCCCGACGGCTTTGCGCCGGGGAGTCGGTCCATCCCATCCATCTTCCCAGTACATACATACATTGGCGATTCAGCACCTTTTAATCCAGGAATCCCATCGTTACTCTGGAATTTATTCTTTATTTTTTTTCTTTTTTCTTTCCCACCTCTCTCTATCTGACCAAGGCACTGATTCTAGCATGCGATCCCGTTGAGAGAGCCCAGCTGTAGTCCTGTACGTACTGCCGTTCGTGCCCCACAGCCCACCTGTCAACTCTATCATCCTCGTTGCGGGCCATCTAATCAATCCTCAAGTTTAGCTCCGGCTTTCCCACCTCTCACCTCCCACCCGCAGCGCCTCCGGCCGACGGGACAACCGCAGCTCCGGATCGGGATCTCAACTGGATGAGGGCTCTTAGTTTGCGCCCTTATTCCCTCCGAGTATCATGCGGCCCAGCATGCCTTTCTCCTCCCACTCCTCCAGATCCTCCAGATCCTCTTCTTCGTCTTCGCATGTCCTGCTTCGGTTGATATGTCAATCATTGCTCCTCCTCGTGTCTTTCGTCGCCGCGCAGGAAGCATTCCCAACCGATGATTCCGTAGTGACCCCGCCGCTTGGAGCGCCACAGTTCTTCCTCTATACCCGCCAGTTTGCCCTAGATCCCGCCTTTCTTGTACCTCTAACCAAGTCTATGAGCGACGCTCCTCCAAGTGTGAGCTTTCCCTCTCCTTTGATCGCGCTTCATTGCTGGTGGCATTGTGTTGACAGTGTCTTTTTCCTTGTTTCTGCTTCTAGGATTTTAACGTCACGGGAACATTGGTCGACGTCTCGCCAGAGAATGCGAACAACCTCAATGAAGACCAGATAGCCCTAGTCAGCTGCGATGACTCCGCATATCCCGGAAACCAGAAAGTCAAGGACACTCTCAAGGAGCTCATTTCCAACAATCCGACCGCCGGTGCGACTATATTGTATACCGAGAGAGACAGGTATCATTGTGAATACACAGCGGACATGTCGCTCCCCCCGTATCCGAATATCTTCACCTTGACAAGAGCGTCGATAGCCCAGGAACTGCAGAATAAGCTCAAGAGCAGCCCGACCGGGTCGTCTTCGATCGTGGCGGAGGATCCGTCCCCCTCCGAAACCGGGATAGGTGCCATTGAGACAGGAGGCTCCAGTTCGCCCCTGGAAAGGGATCGTGGGAACAATGGCCCAACTACCTCAGTGGCTATGATCATCCTGTATTCGGTCACTGGCGTTATCACGCTGCTCTTCCTCGGCGTCATCCTCACCGGTGCCGTTCGCGCGCACATGCATCCGGAACGCTACGGGCCTCGTAACATCATCGGCCGTCCTCGACAGAGTAGAGCCAAGGGCCTTGCACGGGCCATGCTGGAGACGCTACCGATCGTGAAATTCGGCGACTTGGACGAACCCACCGCGCAGCCCGGAGCGGCCAAGGCCGGAGACGTTGAGATGGGCTCGAGTCAAGGAGGAGGACCGGAAGAGCAAAAGAAGGGCGGCCACAAGGCTAAGGGAGCTTCCGAAGAGGATGGGGCGTCGCAGCGTTCCCAAACGAGCGCTGCGGATCACGATCGCAACCTGTCGGGCAGGGATGATGGGCATATTGGACCGGCGTCGTCGTCGCGAGCTGGAACGCCGGATGGGCCGGAACCCGCGGGCGAAACTACCCTTGGGTGTCCGATCTGCACCGACGACTTTGAAAAGGGGCAGGATGTCAGGCTGCTGCCGTGTGACCACAAGTTCCATCCCGAATGCATTGACCCATGGTTGGTGAACGTTTCTGGAACTTGTCCTCTCTGGTAAGTTGAACAACAAAAGAAAAAAAAAAAAAAAAAGGAAAAGGGTTGTATTTCATCGTGGATTCTTAGCCCAACTAACCACCTCTTTTCTCTTTCTTATTTTTTAGCCGCATCGACCTCCATCCTCACGACGAAGACGAACAGCAACTTGAAAATCCAGACGAACAGCCCGCCGAGGACGACGGAAGACTTCCTCCTCCCCTCCGGGATAACAGAGGCCCCGGCAATGAACCGGAAGGCACCAGGGACCGTCGTCGCCGCCGACGAAGTCTAGCGACATACATCCAGTCCACCATCAACGCCATGCCGCCCAACGACGCTTCCATAGAGCAGCGACTCGAAGCCGTGCGTCGATTACGATCACCGCAGCAGCAAGAAGGGGCGCAGACGGCGGCGACGGGAGCTATCGGAGCATCGTCTGAGAACAGAAGAAGCCGGCGGTTTTCCACGATGTTGCTGGATAGCTTCCGCATACACACGAGACGACATGGTGAAGAGATGTAAAAGAAAAGAAAAGAAAAGCATGTGGTCTAGCTCCCATCATGAAATGGATACTTTGATGGGGAGGGGGGACACACGATGCTGCTTTTCTCTTTACGAGGATACGGATTTCTTTACAGGTTTTTCTTTCCCGTTTTCTTTTTATTAACGACATACCCGATATCCAAAGCAGGTGGATTTGATAGGATTTCCCCTTTTTTTTTTTTTTTTTTTTTTCTCTTTTTACTTTTTATTTTGTGGTTTAAACCCAAGTTGGGCTCTACCTGATTGCATACGGTAGTGGGATTGGGATTGGGATTGGGACATATTCAAGCGGTCTTTTTTTTTTTCTCCACCTAGTTTATCTCTATGATGAGGAGTTAAAAGTGTTGGATTTTTCTTGAAAAAGGGGGGCGGAGGGGGTTGAAGGTGCTACGGGTCTGGGACAATTCTTGTGGATATTTGATTTTATTTCTTCCTGGAATCTGTTCCTTTTCAAGGCTTCTGTGGGCGAATGGGATATATAAACTGGGTGCTGGAGTTTTTTAGTTCTCCTTTTCTTTTCATCGCATGTTTTTTTCCTTCCTTTTTTTTTTTTTTTTGTTCTGTGTCAAAAAACTCGGGAGAACAGACAAGGGGGAAGGGTGGGTGGTGCTGTTGATCAATACTAGGATGTTTTCTTTTCCTTTTTTTTTTTTTTATTCCCTGTTTTGTTTCTCTGATGGTAATTTGACTGACTCTGTGGATAGACTCGCCTTGACTTTTTGGCTGTGTCAAGTGGTGTAAATAATTCGTCGAGCCTGTTCATGAAGCTGTCCTAAACTGTATATAAATTAGGTACATATGGACCCTGTACTCCGTACAGAGTAGTTTTTCCCTTTTTTTCTTTTTTTCTAATTTTGGGTGCTTTGATTCAAGATGATTATTATTATTATGTATTATTATTCAAGATGAGAGTGATCAATTGACCGTCAATCTCACTCACACACACACACACACACACAGAGTGGGTTGCTTTGCCTGACAGCACCACAAGAGAAAATGTAACGGCAATCGGATGATGCTGGATGAGAGAAAGCATCTGATGCCGACGGGTGTCAGGGCAGCATCCACACCAATTAATTGTGGGCTAATCCAATGGCCTGTGATATCATCCAAAAGTATAAAAAATGAGGAAAAAAGCGCGCGAAATCCTGGAGCGCCGTCATCAGCTTGGATGGGTTCCTTTTTTTTTTTTTTTGCCATTCGGCGTGTTAAAAAAATACCTCGGTCTATTCCAGGTCCACAGCAGGATTTCCCCAGAATATAGTCAATCAGCAGCTGGACACGAGAAGACACGAGAGAGAAAGGGGAGTGGGAAAGAAAAAAAGCTGTCAGAAATATTTATATAGAGTCGAGCCCTCTCATTAGCATTTTAGAATTGTTTCCATCGTGACTCTTTTTTTTTTTATTTTTTGCTTATTTATTTTTAAATTCATCATTGTTATTCCCTTTCCCCCCTTGTTACACATCCCTGCCCTGTCCGAAGAAGAAATTAATCTTTTTAAACAATTTCCCATTTTTCTCTCACACGCTTCTCTCGGCGACTCGTAAGACACGGCGAACTCGAGACGTTGGTCGAAGTCGACGGAGCAACCGGCCAGCCAGGGGACAGAAACGCCAGGCGAGCCGGACACTGAATCGCCGCCCCTAGCCAGCCAAACTCGCAGTTCCCGGGGAGGGGGTTTTATTTTTTGAAGCGCAGAGGGTTGCAGAGGCCGGAGAAGGGCGAAGAATTACGCCACATACGGCTAGGTTCCATTATTATTATCAAACAGTTTCACTCGCAAAAGAGAAGTGAAGTCAGAGCGCGCAGAGAGAGAGAGAGAGGAAAAGAAGGAATTAAATAAAATAATAATAATAATTTTAAAAAAAAAAAAAAAAGAAGCAAAAAGCAAGGATGTCCCCTCCTCCCCCGCGTCCCTCTCTCTCCTTCACTCCATCCTCATCCTCCCCTTCATCCTCGCTCTCGCTCTCCCATCGTCACTCTTCCAAAGCCACCTCCTCGACCGCACTCTCCACCGCCCAGTCTCGTCTCTCAACGATATCAAAGCACATCATGGCGTCCTCGTCGTCGTCGCCATCCATCTTCACGGCCAATGTCGTCCCCAAGGCCCCCGAGGATCCGCTCTTCGGCCTGATGCGGGCGTATCGAGCTGATCCGTCGGACAAGAAGGTCGATCTGGGCATCGGTGCGTACAGAGACGACAATGCGAAGCCCTGGATCTTGCCGGTCGTGAGAAAGGTATGTCGCTCCATCATATCAACATAAGACTCAATACAACCCATCTACGACAGACGGTTATGTCATTGCTCTGCATATCACTTTTGCGTCAATGTTGCGACTTTCTTTTCTTTTTCTGCTTTCTTGGTGTTATTTTCTTTTTCTGTTTTCTTTTTCTGTTTTCTTGGTGTTATTTCTTTTTCTCTAGACTCTCTTGCCCCTGTCGCTAGTGGTGTTGGCGGATGAAACGTTCTCTGGCGGGCACTGACGGGGATCATCTCTCGATCTAGGCCGATGAAGCAATCCGCAACGATCCCACCGTCAACCATGAATATCTTCCCATCGCCGGCTTACCAGATCTGGCTCCCGCCGCTCAGAAGTTGATCCTGGGAGCCGACTCTCCCGCCATCACAGAGAAACGGGTATGTTTTCCCCGTCCCTTGCCCTGCAGAATCCAACTTGGGTCTACCCCGCATTCTCCGGGATCTTCTCGACGAGAGAGATCGCGCCGGCGCAGAACCGCCCCATCTCCTTTTTTATTTTTTATTTTTTATTTTTTATTTTTTATTTTTTTTTTTCGGGTTGACTTGATTAGTTTGTTTCTAACATTCATTTTTTTTAAATCGTATCAGGTCACTACCTTCCAGACCATCTCCGGCACCGGAGCCGTCCACCTCGGCGGCCTCTTCCTCTCCAAGTTCTACCCAGCCAACCCCAAGCCAGCCATCTACCTCTCCTCTCCAACATGGGCCAACCACCAGCAAATCTTCACAAATGTCAACCTCACCACCGCCTACTACCCTTACTACTCCGCGCAGACCAAGGGCCTCGACATCGATGGCATGCTCGCCGCCATCCGCGCCGCTCCACAGGGCTCCATCTTCGTCCTCCACGCCTGCGCCCATAACCCCACCGGCGTCGACCCGACCCAAGACCAATGGAAACAAATCGCCGCCGCCATGCGCGAGCGCAACCACTTCCCCTTCTTCGACACCGCCTACCAGGGCTTCGCCTCGGGCGACCTAGCCCGCGACGCCTGGTCCATCAGGTACTTCGTCGAGCAGGGCTTCGAGCTGTGCGTCGCGCAGTCCTTCGCCAAGAACTTCGGTCTGTACGGCGAACGCGCCGGTGCGTTCCACTTCGTCTCCGCACCGGGCCCACACGCCGCCGATTCAACCGCGCATATCGCGAGTCAGCTGGCCATCCTCCAGCGCTCTGAGATCTCTAATCCGCCCGCGTACGGCGCGCGCATCGCCTCGCTCATTCTGAACAGCGAGGAGTTGTTCGCCGAGTGGGAGGCGGATCTGCGCACGATGAGCGGACGGATCATGGAGATGCGTAAGGGGTTGAGGGAGAGGTTGGAGCAGAAGGGTACTCCGGGAACCTGGGAGCATATCACGAATCAGATCGGTATGTTCAGCTTCACGGGGTTGACGGAGCAGCAGGTGGGAATTCTGAGAGAGAAGTGGCATGTTTATATGGTGAGTCTTTTTTTTTTAACCTCGTATACCTTTGTACCTTTTTTTTTCTTTCTTGGTTTTTTTTGGGTATGATTTGATGCTGATGACGGGTTAGACCAAGAACGGGCGTATCTCCATGGCTGGATTGAATACGCATAACATCGACTACTTCGCCGAGGCGGTTGATAGCGTTGTCAGGGAGACTTCGTCGTAGACCCTCGAGTGCGGACGGTCTTCTCCCTTTTTGTACTGTAGTCTTCCTTTTTCCGTCAAGAACTCGCAACTTTGTACTCCGTACTGCATGTGAAAATAAACGCAACAATCTTGTGAAGAAAGAATTTGCATACTTCAAAACATTTCTAGGGGGTTGTTGGCATACATCCAGCTCCCATTTTAGTTCATTCCTAAGAAAAAGTACGAAATTGAGGTATGAATCGAGAGTACTTATGATCATCATTGTTTTGAGTCTTGTTTTCTTCTGAAGTTGTGTAGAATGATATCAGGAGAAACCATAAAAAGTGAAGTATCCCAAACCAATTCATACAGATATAGAGTCCGTACATGGACTGAGCAAAAGTGTCATGTATACTCCATAAAAAAATACACCTTAAAAATGCAACTCCAGGAAAAGTGGAGGTGTAGAAAAAGGTACTCCGTACAAATAGAAGTTAAAGGGGGAAAAAAAGAAAAGAAAAGAAAAGAAAAGAGAGAGAAAAGAAAAGAGAAGTCTATACATACCGCCCAGGTGAGGAAAAATCTCAGCAAGAGAGCATTCCACCAAAAATAGCGCGGTCCAGTAATCGCGAAAAGAAAGAAAAGGGAAAAACAAAAGAGAAAAAGAAAAAGACCACACAAAGCACCACCTTAAGAAGAGACATGATGATTCGTAACCGGCAGCACCGGCCCATCCCCCTGCACCAACGGCTGCCTCTCCTCCAACTCTTTCTCCGCCACTGCCCCATTAGCACCGCCAGTACCACCGGCCCTACCGTTCAAAGCCGCAACCTCCTCCTTCTTAAACATCAAATCGCGTATCCAGATCACTGCGTTCGCACACCACGAATCCACATACTTCGTCCACAGATGCGCCAGCGCATACAACACCCCATAAAACACCGGCACCGCGAACAGGAACGCCATGGGTCCCGCCGCGCGCACGCGGTTGATCGGTTGGCCCTTGTCGTTCAGCTTGGTCAGGTCAGTCGAGCCGGCGTTGGGCCCGTAGATCATCCATGTCATCAGGGTGCGGATCAGGGTGTCGTGGAGGAGGTAGACGGCGAAGGAAACGCGGCCGAGGAAGTTGAACAGCGGGAGGGACAGGATGCGGCGCGCGTTGCGGGAGGTGAAGATGCCGAGGGCGAGAACGGTCACGCCGACGTTGACCCAGTAGCGGTTTATGAAGTTGACGGCCGAGGGAGGGGTAACAGCGGCCATGGTGGTTTTCATTAGGTGTGACCAGGGCATCCACTCTTGGTTGTTTTGCGGGTAGGAGAGGATGAGGACGCCGACGAGGATGATTAAGGCCGGGATGGGTCTGGGGAGGAGGGAAGTAGCGCGGTTGCCGAAGGTGGCTTGGAGTTGAGCGAAGAGCATGCCGGAGTAGATGTTTATGCCAGTGATGTCTAGAGCGTGTTTGTTAGTATGGAGGGTTTGTTTCTTTCCAGGGGAGAAGGTTTGGAAATTGGAAACTTACAGTCGTTTGTCCACCAGCAGAAGGAGTGGAGGAGGATGATGATCAAGATTCGCCATCTCGTCTTGACGAGACTGGTGGCTAGGAGCGTGAGATATATTCTCATGGATCCCCTGAGGAAGTACACAACCGCCCAATGCGTCGGGTCGTATGTTCCACTACCGTCGTGCCAGTACATCGTCATATTGTGCAACAACGCCTTGATCGCAGCCCATGGAGTGGGGCCGGGAGCCCTCGCTACACTTCGAATCCAATCCGACTCTACGACCCTAGCTAGATTGAATCCGCCCAGTTGACAGACCAACCACGCTGTGGCCGCCGCAGCATTGGTAGGCAGGATCAATCGACCAAAACGGGTGAACGTGCTTCGCGATACATTGGGCAAAGAACCCGCCACGTTGCCATTGTCGAAGTGCCTGATGGGGTTCATGGAGTTGACGAAGCCGGTGACAAGGAAGAAGAGTGCAACGGCACCTCTTCCGCCAACACATAGTCGGAGTATGGGCAATTGAAAGAGCAGAGGACCTTTGCCCGCCCCGGCGGCGGGTGAATGGAGAATTGGCGCGAAAGCAGTACATAAGTGACCTGTCACCACAATGAAAGAAGCAATTCCGCGTAGGCCCTAGGAGAATAATCAGTCAAATGTTAGAGCTTGGGTTAAAAATGGAAAAAAAAAAGGAGGGCTGCGTATTACATCAATCCAATTGTCGTCTCGTTTCTTCGGAGCCATAATTAAAGGGTTATAATGACGAGAGTAAATAAAATATATATATCGGAGAAAAAGAAAAGGAGTATGTCACGATTGACAGCGTGGTATGTCCAGTACTCCCGTCCAGACGGAGTTTGTCGTCTCGTCGTGCTGGAATGAGTGTACGAATGGTATATTTTCTCTTAATCAAAGCATTGCAAATATCAACAGATGAATTTCAAGGAGACCTGAAAATGCTGATAAATAGGGATATATTGGTAGGCGAGGGGCTAGGTCATTACTGCCGCTCCGGCGAAGAAGGGAATTTGCCAGCAAAACTCGAGGGGCAAAGCGGGAGAAAGTCAGCCAGGGGGCTTGCTATGCTTAAAGCGAATGTGAACGGTGAGCGGAAATGCGCCCCGGTGGGAAACGACCGTAGGATACAAACAACCAAAGGTACGCAAAGACGTCCTCTTGAGGCAGAGGCACGGAATCGAAGGACGAGAAGGGAAGAAAAGGGAGAGAAGCAACCTGTCCTCGGTACGAAGGAAGGCGAGGAAATCCCAGAAAATAATTTAATTAAGGAAGCGCCAAAGAATGGAGCCTATCGTTCACGAGATAGGGCGGGATATGGGGGGAAAAAATGAGACTAGCGACGCCAACAGGCCGCGGACCCTGCTCGCGAGTGGAACAGGCAGCCTTTAGTGCGGTACTCCGTATTGCCCTCGTCATGAGTCGAGGAAAATATGGGGAATTCGAGAAGGACGCCGACTCAGTTCGCGAGAGGCTAATTTAAGATTAACGAAGCGTTCTGGTGAAGCACACCCGGACGGGCCAAGGGTTGAGTGCCTCCAGATGGGCATGGATCATCGACAAAACCGTTCCACGCGCAGAGAATTTTCTATGCTTTTCGCGAATGGGACACGATGCGAAACACATCTTCCAAGGTGAGCAGGGAAGCAATCCCACAGCGGATCGGCGGCCAACGGTAATGATCATCGAGATGGGCATCATGACAGTGCTGGCAGTTCCACAGGTGTCAAATGTGGCCTTATTTCATTGAGACTTGTCCGATTCCCGCAGGCAAAATCCGAGTACATAGCAGAGAGCACCCCCCTTCGTCTCCTCCATCCCCCATTTTCGTCTTCCTCTTCCTCCCGCTCCCTTTTTCTCCGCATCTCTTGGCTTGCCGCAACGACGACTCCCCGGGAAACACGATCCTCGACGGCGCAGAAAAGCAAGCGGGAAAAGGATGTGGCAGGCGAGTGGCCGGGACCGATTCCACGCGCCCCCATTGGCCGGCCTCTTCGTGCCAAGCTCAATGCCAAGCCGGTAGCTCGGGAAAAGAGTGAGGCATAATTACCGCTAAACCTGTATGTACGGTAATGGCCTTGGCCGTCGGCGCTGGTTGTTCCGGTTCCGGTTTTTATGAGGTCAGCAACCAGCCAGTCACGTGGGAGGCCTGCCCGCCCAAAAGAGCCGAAAAGGGGAATTCAAACCTGCTCGCTGCTCTCTTGTCTTTGATGCAGAGAAAATACGCCTCTCACCGACGAAGGAGAGACTTGTCTTGTTCCAGGTGCTTCTACGTGGCCGTTTGCATGAACTTTTCTTTGAAACACAGGGGTGATCGCCCGCCGGCCTTTTCCAAGCAGGGTGGGTTGTCGATAGTTAAGCTTCTCTGGATTGCTACCGTCGACGGGACTATGAGTTTGATCTGCACGCGATCGCCCCTCACCTCCCGAGGTCGGGAAAGTCGGTCGGCTGCAGAAACCAATGTATGAATAATCCGTACGGAGTACGGAGTACTTCTCTGACAACTATCAGTCTTTCTCTCAAGAGCATGGCTGTTAGACAAGGCGGCTCAACGCGCGGCCTGGCATCACTGGTAGGCTTCCAGTTATGTTGTTCGCGATGCTTCGTTAAGTGGTTGCAGCTTGGATCATTCGTGACACTCTTTGTGCAAAAAGATGAAAGGCCAGTGCCTTGTACCTATGCCAGCATGACCTTCTGTTGGCTTCCGGAGAAGGGCATCGAATGCTAATGCCTCCAAATGGTTCGACTCAGGGCTTGATTATCCCTCTTTTTTTCCTTTTTTTTTTTTTTTTTTTTTTTTTTTGGCCGGCTACCTTTTGAATCCTGACTGCTTGCTCCCTCACACATACACACACACTCTCTCTCTCATGTGAATTTCCCGACATTTTGGGACCCTATTGCCATCATTCAATAATATCTGCTCCATTTACACCAAATGAGACGGCTATCATCACATGCAAAAAGGCCATGTTTGGCATCATCTACCATGTCTGACCTGCAAGAATTCCTCACTTGGGCGTGAAGCGAGAAATTCCATCCTTCCAAAGCTCAGTTTTGGAAGATTTCCTTTCCTCTGCGTTACCACGAAGGTTAAATAGATTCCTTGAGAGGTCAACCTACAGACCTCCATTCCCTGGGTCGCAAAAACCCCAACCGGATACAAACCAAAAATCTACGTTGGGCTTCTACAACTCACAATTAAGGTTCGAATGACCTGTGGATGACCTATGGATAGGCTTGTCCTTTCGATCTATATTAATGACTACAGCGCGTTCCCTTCCCCCAACAACTTCTAGCATTGCTTCATTCTTGGTATACTTGCTATAATTTCATCCATAGGAGATTTGATCTCGAGAGCATCGCATTCGCCTTTAGCAAGATGATGTTCTGGGAAGCTATACCACTCCTAGCTTTGGGCGGTCCCCTATTTATTGCTGGGCTATTATGTGGCAGTTTTGTGCAGATTGAGGATCGTGGATTACTACGAAACTCTACAAGCATCCATTCTTCCCAAGGTCATGAAAGGCACAGATCAATCGGCTGCTTTGTCCTATACCCTTCTATTCTTGCTACTTGCCTCATGATCACCACCGTTTTAGTTCGCTTAATCCCGGTTGTGAGCGCTAAAGCCCAAGACCAGAGTCTACACGCAGCTGTCTCCGGCCAACAAGATCCTCCTTCCCCCCTAGATGCTAGAAGGAAAAATTCTTGGGGTCCGTATTCTGTACTCGCTACTCTCTTGTTTTGTCGTCTCCCTCGCCGTCTTCTATTTTTCTGTACTAGGTTCCTCCGTCAACCACGGCAAAATCGAACAGCACCGATTTGGCGCCTACCGCCAGAACTTATATTAATGATAGCGGATAACCTTTGTCCATCAGATACTGCTGCATTCTGTCTCGCAAGCAAAAGAATTCTGGGGGTTATCGGTGAGCGAGCTTTTGAACTGAGCGGCAACGAATTGTATAAATTCTTGTCACGCTTACAATCCGGCATGCCAAATCACATACTTTGTTACCAATGTGCAAAATTTCACCACAAGTTCCTTGTTGAACAATCCTGGCACCTAGAATGTGAAAGAAGGAATCGTTGCATGGAAACTGCTTTTGGACAATTCCCGTTTACGGATGCGCAACAAGTCATGAACTATCACTTTTATGGAACTCGCCATTGGCTATTCCCTGGCATAACAGTATATTATGAGGATGATTCGCCTGATAACGACTTTCGTGGCTGGGAGCTCGTCGACTTACGAATATCGGGCGAAGATCTTCTGCTCAGGCAGCAAATCGCAGTGAGTTTCCACCACTCACAAACTCGGCCCCCCGAAGCGGGTACCGCCCTCAACTACCCTTTCCGCCTATGTGTACATCTGGATTGCTGGCAGGTCTTCAAATTTCCACGGTGCGAAAGAGTATTTCTCAAATGCCCTGTGTGCAAAACGGAAATCAGTACTTGTCGGAACCCTCTGGATAAGGAACATGAATGGATCGACATTACCATATGGCGTGTGCTCGGCTCCTGCCGTAATCCTACGGAGCGTCAATGGCGACTGCTCACTCGCCGTTGTCGTCGGGCGCGGAAGCCTTTATTCATCACTAGAAGGTCAGCCGTTATATGGCAACGGTTCGCAAACAGTCCTCGACTCCCAGTAAAATGCAAGTCCTGATTTTCCACGTTGGTATCGTGAATTCTTGAGGACCGACGAGGTTTGCGGTTTCTATCGGTTATATAAAAATGAGGAAACGGTCCCAAGAAATCGTCGCCGAGTGCGCTTCTATAATTGTGTTGTTCTTAATATCCAAGGGGGAAGCTGCAGTGGGCTTAAGGTGATCAACTACGAGTGTTAATTGGTAGCCCTGGCGGTTCATTAAAGAGTTGTTGGAAAGGAATTCCCTGCCAGGGCGATTATGGAGGCTTTATTCCGTACAAGATTATTCTCATTTAGTTAACAGGTAATCTATAGTATGGTTTATAGCAACTGGAGGAGCGTTTACATCTCATGTCTCCAGCGATCAGCAGCAAGGCAGGCTCAGACCACCAGTATCTACGAGATATTACCTCCAAGGATCTTTACAGGTTCGTTGATATCATCTATATACAAAGATAAGATTAGAAAATGGCATCCCAGACAATGAGCCCCGTGCATAGTCCGGCGGTGGCCCAAAAGACTACCTGTGCTGTGCTCCTTCTCTCGCTCGCGCGCTTTAGCTCCTGATTTCCACGCCCGACGTTTGAATGAGTGGTGGTCGCATCAGTCACCAATTGATTAATGTAGTCTTCCTGCGTCGCAAGATGGGCAACAAGAGTCTGTTGTAGCGAACTGATTTCCAGTAGGGACTTTTCGGCATTTCTAACAAGAGAGAAAACATTGGTGGTTAGAGACTTTTGCCGTAGCCATAGTAGAAGTAGCTCTTCAATCTCCACAATGATGACGAGGTAGCAGGTAGAGACTTACTGGACCTTACTCAGTGTGTCCTCATAATGCTTCAGCATCGTATCATTCTCCTGCGCAAAAAGCTGCAGCTGCTCCAGCGAAAGCTGCGACTCGATATCCGCCATCATCTCTTTATCCATCGACGGGTCATGCACTCGAATCGGTACCTTGGGCTTCCCCATATCATCTTCCATCATCGTCTGAGATATAATCCCTCCAGCCTGCATCCCACCCGCACCACCCACCATCCCCGAATGCCCGCTCTTATACAAAATACTCTTCTCCTTCTCCTTCGCCCTCTCAATCCTCTTCTCCACCATCGCCATCTGCGCCTCAGCCGCAGCTTCCAGCCTCCGTCGCAGCAACCAAAGCACATTCTCCCTCACCGTCTTGATCGTCTTCTCCGAATCTTCCGCCTCTTCCTCCTCAGGACTCCGAGACATCTCCTCCGGACCATCGCCACCGGCCCATTTCCATATTCTGCTATTAAATTTATATCCGAATTTCTTCCGCAGGAGAGTCGCCTGCGTCTCTTGCCGAAGGGTTTCGGCGGACGCGAGGTTTTCTATAGAGGAGGACAGGTCGCGGAGCAATATGGCGGTAGAGGAATCTATAGAGTCACGCTCTTCGTCGGTTAAGTGCTGGTCTGTCTGTATAGAGGACGAGGATTTGAAGCTTGCGATTGATGTGGAGGACCGGTGAGTATCTCGGCGGGACACTGGAGGACGACGGGGTGCGGTTGAGAGGTAGGCTTGTCGGATTGATTTCAGATACGTCAGAAGAGAGGAGATGTGGGAGTTCTGAGGGAAGAAAGAGAGGGGTTAGCGATGGGCAAAAAAATCCAACTTCGTTTCCCAGAACAACCCTGCGGGACACTGAGGATGTAGACGTACTATTCTGTATGCTTCTTTGAGGAACTCATCTACTGTTTGGTATTTGGCCCGGCGATCTTCAATATTTGGAATTCCAGACACGCCGTGGGACTCGAGGAGTCCATTAACAATTAATGTAATATCCGCCATTGTCATCAGCTCATGATTCTTTTCCCGAGGTTAAGTTGGGAGGTGCAATGGGACTGCTTGTCGACAAGCATCGTGGCCCAGTTCAGATGACGATATGTGGACAAGACACGATGCTGCTTAGTCATCCACTCCGGCCTTCCCAGGGGCTTTCTTGTCTCGTTCTGTTGTTTGATTTCGCGTTTAGCTACAGAGCACAGCCTACAGGAAATATGCCAGGAGGGGTTTGTTCATGCCAACAATGGCTGCTTTGTGTCATCTAAAGGCCACAAGGACACATGTCATGGTTAAGTACAAAAGGAAATTGAAACAATGCAAATCTGGTCGAGACACGTGAGGTTCTTTCTTTTTTCCCAAAACACGATGGCTTCGTCAAAGGGGGATGCCTCAAGAAAACACCTCGCTAATAAATTAAGGCAGAATGGAAGAGTTTCGAACGCTCCAAAGTAATCTAGAAGAGAAAGGGGAGATAAGAAAAGAAAGTACTCGTCAGAATTACACTTCGCTAACCCAAAGCTGCAAGCAACATGTCAGTTTTCCATGTTTATCGTTAAGATAGCCAGGAGCCAGAAAAGACTTACTTCCAGTTTACCCATGTCATTACCCTGCTTCCTTGCAGCCTGTCTCGCCGTTGAAAGAAGCATATCTAGATCGTCCTGGTCGCCCAGGGTCACCATGTCTCCATCATCCCGCATTTTAATCTTCAGCTTAGATTTAAAGCCGAACTTCTCCCGGATTTTTCCTTCGAGAGCACCGAATTCTATAGCGGGTCCAATCATAATGAAACGGGTATCTTGGTCGGCATGGACCTTTACACGGATTTTCTTGATATCTGACCGTCTAGAGTTGGTAGGGCGCCTTCCGGGGGGCGGCGGTACTCCAATCATTTCAAACTGTGTATCACCGATAGAATCATCTTCATAGGCGTCGCTCTCATATCCATCTTCTTCCGGGTAAGATGGTTGTCTGGTATTTCTATAGCGAGGTGTATAAACACTCCTAGGGGCTTCAGAACTCGCATACATGTCGTAGACGGCGCCAGCATCTTCTTCTTCTGATAAGGGAATAAACGTCGAGGTGTTTTGACGGCGGGGTCCTGTGGTCTCGCGATACAAAGGTTGGTTATTTGGATTGCGTGCTTTGACAGGAAATTGCGGTCTTGTTGCTGGTCCTCGTGACTCCGAGGCCGATCGAGTCGGCCCAATTCTTAGCTTGTCGACTGGAGGTGCATCCACCCTGTCTCCATCGTCCATACGTCGTTGAGCGACGGGGAATGGCGGTTCCCGTACAGAGGCGGATCTCAACGGCTTCACGGATAGGTTACCACTCGAGCTGCCGCCGAAGAAGGACTGGGGCTTATCGCTATCAGGAGGCGGCGTTGGGGGAAACATATTCCGGTTTATTGGTGGTTCAGACTGTTGTCGAGTTCTGCCGACCAAGTTCTTCTGTACCAAGTTCGTAGCTGCATATGAGATTGCATCCGGAGGCCTATCGTCTTTCGAAGTATCAAGCGTTCTGGTCCGCTTGATCTCAGAGCCCTGAAATCCAATGAACGCATTTCCGCGGTCTGAGGCGGCGACTAGCCTGGCCTTGCCCAAGTACTCTTTGGTCTTCAAGTTCTTCACTTTCGCATCACTTGGGCGGTAAACAACGCCAACCGGAATGGAGAAAACAGTATAACCCTATTACACACTTCAGCAATGCTCAGATTCAGCTTGAAGTGACATAATCACCTCTGCACTTTCCCTTATCGCTTCGTCGATAACATCGTGATCTGGCTTGAATTTCTCCTTGGATGCGAAATCGAGATCTTGCATCCCCTGTTCGACCTGGTTGAGATAGATATACGATAGTCCTCGATTGAAGAGGACTTCGCAGGAGTACAGCTGAAACTTGAGCCCCAGTTGCTCATAATCGATGGACGTGTTTCCTCTTAGATAAAGTAGGGTATCGTTGAAATTTACCAACGCTTCTTCGAAATCGCCAAGCAGAAAGTTAGAAACACCTTCCTGGAAATACGCAATCGCGAAGTACTTGTCGAGTGCGATGGCTCTCTGATAGAAGTCCACCTAGAAAAGAAGAGAGGTTAGCAAAGAGGCGTCATCGAGGAAAATCGCTTCCAAAATCATACAGCTTTTGCATGCTCTCCCAACGTAGCATAGATCACACCACAGTTGAATAAAATCTTCGATGTATCAGCGATATTCCCGAACGCTTTAAGCGCCTCTTCGAATTCATTGTTGTCGTAGTGGCCAAGGGCTTGGACCCACGTCTCTATTTCCTATTCCGCGGGCATTGCTATCAGCTAAAGTGCATGGAGCAAAAACGACGGCACCCGAATAACCCACCTGTTTCAAGGACATGACGAGATTCTTCTCAAGGCGCGCACAGCGGCACCTTCGAGGGTTCTAGGTTGCCCGAAAACCGAGCTGACGGCCGATGTCCGTCGTATTCCAAGTAATGCGCAATACGTGATGAAAAGCGAATGTATCCTCAGAGCCCAGTAGTACTATCAAGCAAGGGACGAAATTCCGGAAAGGAAAAAAAGTGACAAGCTCTGGCGGGGCAATGAGCAAGTCAAATATGTACGGCCCAATTATAGCACTTCCAATCCGGTTTGGAACCTGTCAATCCACTTTTCTTTTGTCCCCTTCCCTTGGTGCGTGTGATGCACTTTGTGCCCTGCCACTGGTGATATGCAGAAATCTCGCTCGCTCAACTACAGCCAGTAAAAAGACGTGAACTCTTTAGCGTAGGCCGAACAGAACTCGAATGATTCAAAAGAAGCAATCGACTAGTTGGTATTTGCTGGCCCGGAATCACAGTGCGGAGGCGGTGGGCGGCTAGGACCGAGGGGCGTAATTAAAGCGAGGGCGGCGCATCCAGAGGGCGAGAAGACAGAAATAGAAAAAAAAGAAGATGGCAGAGAAGAAGCGGTAATGACCGAGAGAACCCCTATCAAATTACTCGGACATTCCAGTGGCTATGATCAGGTCATCCTTGGGGGTGTGTACCTAGTGGAATCGGGGGCCGGTCGAAGTCAGCCGTGGAGTGAGCCACACATCGGGGGCAAGACTGTCGTTTTCCCTTAAAATTGATAAAGAGCGAGGAGTCCCAGCGTACGCCAGCATCAAACCATCCGCTTATCACACATAGCGTCGCAGAATGCAAGGGTTCATGTTCCAAGACAGATTGGCGGACCGAGACTGGCACCCCCTCATGGGCAAGCCAAGTCTCAAATGCAACACGACCATCGAGTCAGAATTCGCGAATGGCCGGACACCCGGACTCCACAGTCTGGCTTCAGTCCAGTGATGCGCTCCGATTCGCTGTTTTGTTGCAGAAATCACCGCCATGCAGAGCCCATTGGCTCGTGATGGGTGATTGGGGATGGTCAAAGTGGCGTGCAGCTCCTCCCAAGCAGCAAGGAAAACGGGACTCTGGGTGGTTACCAAGGGCTGCTTGACGGGATGCAGCGATGGGCGACCACAGCAGCCTGCACTTCGTGCATCACGCCACATTCAACTCCGGGAGAATGCCTTCGTTATTGGGTGGTGAGTGCGATACCCCTCCATGCTTCTCAGGACCGAAGGGCCGCTGCTCCAACCCCCCCGCGAGAAGAGTCTCGTCCCCTTGGCGAATTCTATGCATAATGAACTGAACAAGATAAATGTGCCAGCAGGAATGGCATTACCTAACGCCAGGTATCAACCTGCAACATTAGTCCTTAATCCTCAGTCTCTGGTGTGAGAAACAAGCGGGAATCTCAAACCGCGGTTGTTTAAGCTGACCACGGAAGATGGAGCTCTGCCTTCCACACGAAGTGACAGGTGTCAGAATTCTATAATACTAATTCCTCGACCCGTCTATTTTGAGGCCAGATCCTTTTCTTTTTTCCCTTACTAGTATTTCATAACAATGTCCTTATCATGATTCATTATCTAGGTAGTGTGTGACAAAGTTTTGTTGCAGCCGGAGAGCGCAATTCTGGAACTCCAACATTGATCAGATCAAGATGGATCAACTAGGGCAGAGTGTGCATTTCGAGAACCAATCGATGCGAGAAACGAAATGCGGATAGGCCCATGTGGTCTAATGTACAGCTCGCACTCGTCGGTAAGGCGAGTCCCATTTGCATCATACCATACCCCTGGAAACCTGCTCCTTGCGTTCCTCCCAAACATTCTTGCCAGAGCACGAACAGACCATTTTATCGTTGTCCCAGACGCCAGCGCTTCGGGCAATCACGCCGACAATGGTGTTCGGATCATCCTCCTTGAATGGTCCCTCTTTATTTTTCGACACAACCATGCTCCTGCCAATCAATTCCCAAACCGCCACAGGACGGTCAAGAAACACATTCCCCTTACCCTCCTCGTCAACGTCCACTGTTCCGAAGATGCCTCTTGGCTCCTCGGCCCCTTGGAGCTTCTGTTTCAGAGCCTCCCATATTCCGCCCGTAGAACTCGGACCTCGGGAGATGTCGCCTGTGTCGCGCACGGTGGCCCAATACTGACCGGGAGATAGCCCGTTGATCGTTAAGTCAACTAGAGTGCGCTTATCGGAAATTTGAACCATCCGCGCAAGGCCTCGTATTGAAATTGGAACGTTTGCGTGAGTTTCTAGTATACAAACCGAGGCGTCTGGCCACGCGGTTAGCATAATCCCTTTGTGACAATAGCATCTGAAAGAAACAACATCCGGCAGCATGACATACTGTTGGACTTTCCGCTTCCACGGAGGATCGCGTCCCGCCCGGTGTTTTGAATCGCTGCTACAATGGCTGAAGGTGCAGCGGTCCCCTCAACTAATACCAGTTGATCTTTCAGGTTCGCCTCGACGCTCCTGATCCCTAAGTATTCATCCCTTAGTAGCGAGTTCGGAGCAGAAGGCCAGGCCGGACGATACCATCGAGCTCATATAAAGGTTTTGAAATATCTTTGATGCAGCTTTCGCAGGTCAAAGGCACTGCAAAAGTCGCCTGGGCCATATCAGTAACCGCATAGCACGAGGAGTAGAGATGGTATGAGCATCATTACCTGGAAAGGTTCAATCATGGCAAGTGGAGAAGGCGAATCTCGCGACCACCGTACTATTGTGCCAAAAGCCGTGATCCCCAAATGTTAATAATAAATACGCGAAGTAACTATGAAATGGACGAAGCAAACCTCCATGGCAGGTAATGCTCGCCTCTGGGTTGTGGTGGGGTCGCTGGACGGGGTTAACTCGCGGTTGTTAGCCCACTCCGAGAATTGATAATCAGCGTCCACACGGCTAATCCAGATCCCGCTCGGTGCTATCCTCTAGAGCTCTCCAGTTTGCCTTCCGAGCCTGACAGAGTCAACATCTGGCAATACGTTAGCTGCATGCCACGCATCGAGTTTCGCAGCAATTAGTGATGCTGCAGCATAATTGTTCCGTGACAATATTAACAGCCCACCGCAGTGAATGCTCTGGGTGAGTAATTAGGAGACCGGGACAATGATAATGCGTTCCGAGTGTTTGGGGAGCCGTGACAGCAGCTGCTTGAAGACAAAGCGGCGGATGGTAGAGGAATCTGCAATTGATCCCAGACAGGCTACAGTCCCTCCTGTCCCACAGTCAGGAAGCTGGGTACAATGTCGTCTGCTCCCAAATCCCGGTGGGTAGAGGATGACGCCGACACCCAAGCATACCTCGAACAGAAAAAGCGCGAGAAGGAAAAGAAGAAACAAGCAAAGGCGGAGAAGCAGCGCCAACTCGAAGAAGCCCAAAGACGAGCTAATCCTCCTACACTTGCCAGCGAGGCGGCGGATGCAAATGGCGCGGCTGAATCTCGAGTACGCGAAGGCAGCGCAGAGCGACCAGTGAAGAGAAGAAGACTGTCGATCGATAGGGGCGATACTCAACGCGTCGTTGCTGAAGATAAACCCGGCGCCCTGCTTCAGTTTCCCGGTTCGGAATGGGGTCCGTGTCGCCATGTAGACAACTATGAGAGACTAAATGCTATTGAAGAGGGATCCTACGGTTGGGTTTCGAGAGCCAAAGAAGTCACTTCGGGAGAGATCGTCGCGATCAAGAAGCTCAAGATGGATAATACGTACGATGGATTCCCGATTACTGGACTCAGAGAGATTCAAACATTACAGGAATCTCGTCATCCGCACATCGTTAGATTGCGAGAAGTCGTGATGGGAGATACTATGGACGAGTAAGCTCCGCAAGTTACTTTTTGGATACTCCCCTTTTATTTGAAAAGCCCAGATACCAGAGTGACATTAACCATTTCCTTTGCAACTACTTCCTATTTTCGCAGCGTATTTTTGGTTATGGACTTCCTGGAGCATGACCTGAAGACCCTCCTCGACGATATGCGCGAACCATTCCTGCCGTCCGAGACGAAGACCCTGTTGCTGCAGATTATGTCTGCGGCTGAGTTCCTTCACTCGCATTGGATTATGCACCGCGACCTAAAGACATCGAACCTTTTAATGAATAATCGCGGCGAAATCAAGCTTGCGGATTTCGGCATGGCTAGATACTATGGTGACCCGCCACCCAAATTGACCCAGTTGGTGGTGACCTTGTGGTATAGATCGCCGGAACTTCTCCTCGGCGCAGAGAAATACGGCCCAGAAATTGATATGTGGAGTATTGGCTGTATATTTGGCGAACTGCTCACTAAAGAACCGCTTCTACAAGGGAAGAATGAAGTTGAGCAGCTATCAGAGGTACATACCGGTCAGATAATTGCCCTTTTTCGTCGTACAGGTTTCTTAACGCTATCAACCAGATATTCAAACTCACCGGCCCTCCCAATTCACAAATCTGGCCCGGCTTCCGCTCCCTACCCAACGCAAAATCCCTCCGCCTTCCACCCTCCTCCACCACCTCCTCGAAGCGCTCCACCAACGTCCCGCTCCTACCCCGCTCCAAGTTTCCATACCTTACCACCGCCGGCCTAACGCTCCTTTCCGACCTCCTGGCGCTCAACCCTGCATCCCGACCTACAGCGAAAGATTGCCTCTCTTACCCTTACTTTCGTGAGGATCCCAAACCAAAACCAAAAGAGATGTTCCCTACGTTCCCATCCAAGGCAGGCATGGAAAAACGAAGGAAGCGAGATACACCCGAGGCGCCCAAGAGAGGCGAAGAGGCGCCGAGTTTGGACTTCGCGAATGTTTTTGGGGGAGGAGGTGGTGCAGAAAGTGGAATGGAGGCTGGAGCAGGCTTTACGCTACGATTGGGCTAGGATGGAATTCATTTTAGTTCCTTTTGTTTTCCCATCTTATCGAATATAGCGTCAAGCGGGGGGCAAGCCCTAGTAGAATATCGTATATGCAACTTGTGGGAATGAGCACTGGGACTTTGTGAGCCTTCCTATCTTCTATGATGTACAGAAATATCTCCCTAGTCTGAAAATAGTGTCCGGCCTGATCGAAGCGAAAAGGAATATTCCCAGGGCTTTCTTACATCATGGCATCCTACGATACACGATACAGTGGCTTAATGTTCTTGAGGACGCTCTCAGCCTACGACGTCGGTGCCAGTTTCTGGATTCCTACGAATGGAGCGAATTAGGTTAGTAGTTAACGACGCTTTTCATCAAGTGGTCAAGATTGGAGAACAGCAACAAGTCTAGATACCGCAAGACATACTATACAAACGATCAAGCCTACCGTAAAGCAACGAGGCTACTTGCAGCAGCAGTTTCTTCCGTGCAGTTTTTGTCAAATGAGGCCCGACCTGCCAGCCTAACCGTACTTGCTACATGTAAACGAACCCGTTTCCATTTACGAGATGATAAGGCTTCCGGAGAAGTACGTGTTGCAAAAGAAACGAATGGTGATACATTATCGATGACACTCACATCATCAAAAGTTACATATATATAACTAGATCGACGTCCAGGGTCTCGACATACTTATATCATCTGCGGAGCCCACATGGAACCCAGGCGTTCCCGCAAAACCGCGCAAACAAAAGGCCAAAAGCCGAGGAAAGGAGATCCTCTCATATGCCTGTTTACGCTTAAAGGCCGGTGTGTACTACGGGCTTGTCGGGAGGAATGGCCGGGGGAAGTCGACTGCATGCACTGACCCTTGTTTCTTTCTCACTCTCTTCATTTCACTAAGATGATGGATGTGTAATATGAATGCAAAAGATTGGAACTTTGCGGTTGGCTCCACAGCTATTCTCGATGCAATGACTGAGAAGCTGATTCGGGAATCCCTGAGGCTATGAGAATCGCCATACTCCAGCAGACTGACGTGAAAGACGCCAGTGCAGAGTCACCGGCGATGCCTGACGGACCGACAGGAAAGGTTGTCAATCATAGAAAATGGTCAATGACGGCTTTGCAGTCAGTCATGGAGAGCGATGAATCGAAAAACGACGTGGTTCAAGAGAATGAACTGTATGCTTTGTCCCTTGGGCTGCGCTTGACTTGCTAAGTTCCATCGCATATGTGAAGCTCTGGCTCGCGCTCTCGAGGAACAGGAGGATAAATTTGGACCTATCCGCACGGTTAGAGAGCTAAACCATGAGCAACTCAAGCTGGAGTTTTTCCTCGCGCAGAAGAACACAGCACTGAAAAGCGGTGCTCGAGATCTGCATGCAAGAAATGAATTGAAAGTTGCAGAAAGCAAAAGTTGCAGAGTCTGCGAGCACGTATGTTGCCTCTCACTAATAATAGGGGGGAGATAATTTCTGAGGTGAAGTCGGCTCGGTCGACCACTAGAAGACGAAGATGCAGTCAAAATTGAGGAGGGATCCCAAGTTGCTGTTGAGATGCTTGGCGATCTTCGGTCTCAATACGAAGTAGTAAGGTGGCTATGGTTATTAAGTACGGAGTAGTTGGTCAACTGTATAATTTCAGATACCGATGAACATCTACTATTCCAACAACCTCCAAATTTCCCGTATGGGAACTGACGTTCCCTTTAAGATGACCGTCAGTTGGCATCTCTGATGCTGGGTAATAACGCCGCCCTCTTGAGGCGGTCAGCAACTCCTTACTCCGACCTAGCTCCTCATGTCACGAGTAGCCAGTTTTGGCCGCCTCAAACATAAACCTCAAATGCAGTCTCGCTCACTTCAAGGCCTGGTTCTGGACAACCGGTAAATGGGAACCCAAGGGAGACATGTCGCGCTTTCGCCGTCTAGGCGGAACGTTCATTTGGTGGAAAACCAGTCAATGCTTGAGGACTTCAAAAAAGCAGAAATGGAACATCAGTGTCCGAGGAAGATTACTGATGACAAGCGTGTCATCTACAGGTCTCGCAGCTTTGGCAAGCCGAAGAATGGCGAGTGGGGAGATCCAGTCTTGTGTGATTTCAGAGAGGCCAGAATTGGACAAGTTCAACAAAGAGGTCCATTTGTCCAGACACATATTTACAGGGCGCCGGATATACCTTTTGAGATGCGATGGGGTTCGCCCGTGGATATATCGAAAGTCGCTACACTTGTAAGTATGTGATATCTTTTATGCAAGGGTTTGATGTTGCTCACTTATGTTAGATCTGGGACCTCTTCCAAGGAAAAACATATGTTTGATAACCTCCTAGATGGAAAAGGGCAATTATGATCCTTTCAAGCACATAGCTCAGATAGTTGTATTACTGGGCCCTCCTCCAAAGAGGAGTTCATGCTGCGCAGTGAGATGACTTGGCAATGCTTTGATGCTGATGGCAGTTTGCTCCGTTTAGTTTATGGGTGGCAATTAAAGCTCACACGGACGTGTATAAAGACAAGTGGAGGGCAGATATGCACGAGAATATATCCAATATTTCGTTGGAGAGCCTTGAGACTCCTTTAGAGGGAACAGAGAAGATATCATTTCTCCGCTTCACCCGGTCCATGCTTAAGTGGCTGCCCGAGGAGCGAAAGACTGCTAGAGAACTTCTTAACGATCCCTGTTTGAATGACCAGCTGGGCTAAAAGCGGGAACTGAAGCGAGCTCTGAAGTCATAGCCGTTTGATGCGCATCCCGGCGACTGCCAGTATCAGGATTTGGACATCCCATCCTCGTGCAAATGGCCGGTGCCAACATGTTTGTCATCCTTGTTGAGAAATCGGATAGAAATCATATCCTTCTGATCGGTGGGGTCATCGTGTAACTTGTGCAGGCGGGTGCCTTTAATCTCCGCGTTCGTGCATCGGGAGTCGTGTTCACGAGTGATCAGTAGCATCTTCTTATTCTCGACAAGACCATGACACATCTTCATTTTTATACTGTTCTGGCAGTATCTGCAGCACTTTCAGCGTTCAACAGTGCAATCCTACAAGTTGTTTCTCATGATCAATTTCTCATTAGAACTGTCATTTAGGGGAATATTGATATTCATCAGGAAGACGAAGGCGGCGCCGCGACCGAAACTAAAAGATGAGACTGAACCAAGGAGGCGCCATGTTTTTGTTTTAAAAGGCCGGTAAACTGCATTTTCAGGAAAACAGAGCAGAGCAATTCGAACAAAGCCTGCAGAAAAGAATGCAGAAATTGCTTGCACCAGACCGACTGGTTTATTGGCTCTATCACTCCGTATTTGGTATCATTTCATACCGCATGCGAAATCTCCGCACATTTGTAATTCTTCTCAATTGGACACGCCCTTTCCCTTCTGTCATTTAGGCTGGAGAAATCATGCATTGAGATGCAGGTTTTCGAACGCACAGATCGCTTGAATTTTGTGGGTCGTGAAACCCCATGCATCTTTGGAGACAAAGAAGAAGATATAACTTAACTGTGGGATAAATTGACTCTGTCCCCGGTAAGATGCAAAGTAGCATTTCCTCCGCATGTGCGACGCCGGAGGAGATCAGATTAAATCAGATGTTCAATGCCAACTGTCGATTGCCGGGTTGGTTGCAATCGCGAGCTCGGGCAAGCCAATCAATCATCACAAGATTAAAATAGGATATTGGATGTGCAGCGAGCCCATTTGTTCGCTACCTGTGAGCGAAATGGATGGGATCCAGTGCCACGTAACCGGGAAATCATGCCACGAAATAGGTAAAAATAATGCACGAGGACCTGAATCCCGGGATGACCGGGGTTGCCCATGATCTGACTTGTTGAAGTATTGCCAGGGGCGGTGCTCCTGAAAGGTTTAATTGAAAAAAAAGAAAAGAAAAGAAAAGAAAAGAGGAACGAGAGAGAGAGGAAGAGAGGACCGGGGCAGGCCGTCATTATGTGACGAACAAGGTTTACTCCCAGCCGCGAGCCAATGGACAGGTTGTTCCTGACGAGACTCCCGCCTTTGTGGCTGAACATGATGCAGAACTCAATTTGAAAGGATCGCGCCGCAAACGTGTTTGAACGATACGAGCGGAGGTCACCGTTCACCGACAGGCTCCAGCAAGCTAGCGAACAGCTGGCAGCACAACGTTAAACAGACCGCCTCGGCTCCCACGCCAGAGATCCATGTCCTTGAGACCGACCGCTCAAGCGGGCTGGAACCCTGCGAAAGACAAAGAAAGAGAAGTCCAGGACACTGTGCGTTCTGGCTCACGTTTCTCAGGCAACAAGGTCGGTTGGCGAGACTTTGCCCCATTGCAGTGCAGATTTTTCCTTTTTTTGAGACACACCGTTTCTTGAGAGGCCTGGCTCTCTGAGCCGCGGCTACGCACGGCGGAGAAGCAGATATTAAGTAAGAAAATTGGACACCTCAGTTTCTGCTGGATCACATGAGGCGTCAGAGATTGAGCTCTTTGGCTGGCGCCGTATCCGTATAGCGGCAGTCGATCCCCGCTGTGGGCTTCTGGGCGTGGCGGGGACTAGATCTCTTTTTTTTGACAGCAAATTTTTTTTGGATGTGGTCTGTGTTGTGGCCGAGAGGCAAAACGTGGCGAATGCAACTCCAGACTCTCCCCTTTCTCCGTGGATGCGAAATAAAAAAACAAAAACGACGACTTGAGCCTGCAAGACGACGATGCGCTGCTTGGAATCGATGACTTGGGGAAAGTCAGTCCAACTCTGCGATCTCTGTGCGGGAGAAATGGAGAAATCGACGAGAGTCGAGACTGTAATCACTCTGTAATCCGTACAGGACGGCGAACAGCGCGGAAAGATTGAAATGAGTAATCAGCCAAGTTGGGAAAACGTGTACTCCGTAACCTACTTCTGATTTACTCCGTACCGAGTACGGGTTACAAGGGGGATTCACGGAGGAATCTGAATGTTCCTATTCCACAGTGGTTCTCGCGCAAGCCTCCGTCAAGTCAAGGAGCTTATTAAAGCGACCTGCCTCCTGCGCTACTCCAGGCCTTATACGGAGTTATGATTGTAGCATTTTGGGACATTCCAGATTCCCTCCTGATTATAAAGAGGTACAGTACTCGATACAAGAGGACTTTGGGATGGAAGTTTTGCTCTGAGTCATCAAGGCGCGAGCCGCAACTGATTTGTCACCGCGGAGATGTCATAATTGCTCGCCAAAACCGGCACGAGCTTGGTAATTCCGATGGAGATTACACGACGCCAAGACGGATAAACAGCACCAAAACGGTAAGGTCTGGACCACACAACCAGCTGTCGGGCTGCACGGAGACCCGGAGGCTCGTTCAAGCTTCTGGTTTCGACTCCCGTGATCCAGGAAACTCGTTTGGGCACCGGGCAGTCGGCGTCTCCAGCAATGCCAGTCCGACCAGCAGGGTCATATGCCCCGGTCTTTTCACGACCAAGAGCCCTGAAATGGGGAAAAAAGTTCGCTTCCACATTTTATGACTTACGGGACTCCCGTACGTGAGTCTTGTTACGAGGAAATACCAAGAGGAGTCCCCAGGCAGACATATTCAGGCCCGGCTCCTCGACCACCCTGGGCGTGCCGCGAGGGCAGGGCGCAGCGGGCAGGACGCGCTTAATTGGACGGGCAGACCATTCGTCCGTATGGCTGGCAGAGTCAATTTTTTTTTTTTCTCTCTTGCTGCTGACTGATCGTTGCTCTGGCCCCGGCGATCGGGACCAAGCTAGCCCAGGCGGTCACGTAACGAAATACATACACGTAACGAGTACATACTCCGTACGGCGGAGTATCTTACTGTACATAGTTTACCATAAGGCTGTCGTCAAGGTTTTCGGAAGTCTCCACCAGCTGGCCTCCGCTCACCGCCAATCGCGTAATTTTACCACAGAAGCCGCCATTCCAGTCGCCGGGCGGATTTCTCATCAACTCGGCGTTTCCTGCCGAGCCACCCGTTTTCTGCCTCCGTCCGTCTGTCTGGCAGTGGAAGAGCTTGGTCCTGGATCCCGGCGCGGATGGATGAAAAGAAGCGTTGTTCGTCCGTATCGTCGTGGACATATAATAATATCGATCGTCTCCCCCCACGCAGCCTGTTCTCTCTCCAGGCATCTTATCTGCTCCCCCAACCAAAGAACTGCAAACATCCAGTACATATATTCTTTGATGATCGTCACACCCTAATCTACCCCAAGGTCCAGCCCAGCTTCACCGACTTGTCCACTTGTGCCTGGCCGCCTCCGTCTGCTGATTGGCCAATCTCACATCAAACCGAGCTAACGCCTGAGTCAAAAAGAATTACCTATCAATTCCTGAGTCACAGGCAACCCAAAGAAAACAAGGTCTTGGGCCGCATATATACAAAGCCTCTTCCTCCCCAATTGCTGAAAGAAACTTTTTTTTCTTTTTTAATTTTCTCCTCACAATGTCGAATCTGAACTCCGATCTCCCAATATCCCCGCCCAGAAAACCAAAGAAAATGAGTATCACACAGACATACTTCCTTGCTCATACCGCCCGCGCGAAGCTCTCGCGCGAGGCTGGTCGGCCGGATCATAACCTCCGGCTGCTTGTCGGCCACGCAAACATGCTCGATCTGCTCATGCTCGAGCTTGCAGAGGCCGAAAAGGAGCAAGAGAGATGGTTCGATCTCTCCGTTCACGGTGCAAACACCGCCTCAGAACAAAACAGACATATCCAGTGGGCCGATATGCCCGTCATCGCCGAACAATCAGAGGATGAGGAGGAGGAGGAGGAGGAGGACGACTGGAACGGCGAGGCTATCTCTGATACGGATTCAGACGACGATTCGGATTATGACGGGGATGATGCTTTCTTCGTCGATGTCACACCAACGCTCGTCTCGACGAACACCGCTGAAACACTCGGCCGTGCATCCCCCACACAATCTCCAAAGGCCTATGCCGTGCACCACGAGCACGTAGACGACGATGAATCCTTCGAGTTCTCCGAGCCCGAGGAAGACGACGAAGAGGACGTCGCCGGTCTCGCGCTTACAAGAACACATTCCCACTCTCAGCAACCCCCAGAGCTACTATCAGACTCTGGAGATGATTCTGAAGACGAAGTCGGTCCTCCATCACCTCCACAGCCCGCATATGACCATTTTCCCGAGACGGAGCCCCATGAAGGGGCTATCCTTGCATCGCGGCTGTACTCACCAACTGCGAAACAACCAACCAAAAAACCATCATCGTCTTCGAAATTACCCGTTTCTCAAGCCGGTCAGTCGGCGTTTCTCGAGGAGGGATACTATATCCCTTCTCAGGCCCGCGACCGTATGATCGAAGCATATTGAGGGGGGAAAAAAAAAAAGGGTCCCTTTATTACAGTACCATACGCCCCCAAATCGAATACTACAGTCCTCTTACCGATTCTTTTCACCCCAGCATTACAAAAAAAAAACAACCCATTATTCATTTTTCAAACAAGCGACGACCTGTTGGTCTTTCGGCGGCGTTATCCATTCCACATTCTTCACGGAGGGAGTTTGTCCTTACAGCCAGCGATCTGGGTTTTTCGATTTCTTCTTGCTCTATATTTTTACCTTGTGAGAGCTTGCTCCGCAGTTCCTCCAATTTTACGTTGTTTTTTTCCCACCCGTCCCAGTCTTATCGAAACGAGATACGATCGAGATAAAAACGACCCGTGCATCATGATCCTGATTGTACTCCCCTTCATATATAATCCCACTTATTTATTATTGAAATCGAGATACCTCATCAGCGTCTGCAGCATTGGATAAAATTGGAGCTTTGGGCATTGCCTTTTTTTTTTGGTTTATTTTGTTATCTTTTTTTTTTATCACGTCTCCCGTTCGCTGGCTTCGATGGGTTTATCTATTTACCTTGCAGACTCCTCCCTCCGACATCTACCTGCGTCTCTTATCTCATTAAAAACACACGCCGCTCTTGAATTATCTGAAAGCAACAGGCAAAAGGAAGCAATTTCCTCCCTTCCGAGCACTTTTTTTTGGCTTGGACGGTCGAGATTTGTTGTATCTAACATGGGTATACACATATAGCTGAAATATTGAAAAAAGCAAAAAAATTATAAAAGAATTTCAATCCAGCCTTCTTTGTGATCAAAAGGTATTATCATCTGGCCAACGTCTACCCACGTGGCGACTCGTCTTTCTCCGATGTGTCAGACATAACTTCACAATTCAGCGCTAAAATACATGGCCTCGGCAGCTGACGAGATGCCTCCAAACATTCACGATAACTAACAGGATCCTTTGCCTTACCAACGTTGGTGTACAGCCGACTATCGAGATAGATCGACATAATATATGCAAAACCGCCTTATCAATCGGCCTTATCATCTTAGACTTGGGAGTTGAATGGTCAGCTCAACTACGGAGTACGTAGTTAGATTATCAGATATAACTCTACGTCTTTTTTTTTTTTTTTTTTTTTTTTTTTTTTTGGCCCCCCCGCCGCCCCGCGTCCTGCTCCAGCAACACTACGACTCCAACAACATTCCAAGGGGGCGGGCAAAAAGAAAGAAAAATATCTCGCCTGAAACCATGATTTCAATATGGACTTACCCCAAAAAGCTCTTCGGAGGATATCGGACCGGTAAGCTAATTGAGTTTTTGACTCAACTCCCCCAGCCCGATACCAGACGATATAACTCCGGAGCAATCCCATTACTGTTGGTGGGAAAAACTCAAAACAAAGGAGTCTCTCGCTTTCTTCTCCTCACAGGCTTTTACGGTACTGCAAATCAAGTCTCCGTTGGTGATATGTATCAGCTCATGAGCACCATTTTTGAAGTCGGGCAACCGTGTTCACATCGTGCATGGTATACGTGTAGCTACCTTGTGGGAGGGCCGCGCGGTTCAGGCAACTGTGGACTTTCGCATGTACTGTACGTACATGCATCCATGGAACTACAAGGGGTGTGCCGCTTGAGCACTGCGCGGCATGTAAACTCCATCTCGGCATCCAAAGTATACATACCTCATCCTACGGAGTGCTCCGTGTACACGTATGTATGTACCTGTTAGTTGGCATAGTTAGGCGGGTACGCGGTTTACATACAAATGACGATGGAGACTTGGACACGGCTCTTCCCTGAAACGAATTCGACCAGGCATTGTCAGGAACAGGGGAAAAAAAAAGGTTGGGGGTTGCCATAACAGTACGGGATAACACCGAGCGAAAAAAAAAAAAAGGCCAGCAAACGAGCTGTTGCAGTGAGAGGTTTCTTGTTTCTTCACTGTATGACGGCATTAACTACATACAAACCCACCCCCAAACAGTCTTGTCCCTGAGCTTTGCCTCCTGAGTTAAAAGCTAGGAGGTCTGGATTCATCAGCAGGCCCTTCCACTGCCTAGGTTGATGACTATCAACCTTGTGCGTTTGACCAGATATGGCGACATAAGTATCCTTGAGCACGGATAAGGAGTAACATCACAGACTCCACCCCTCATGGCCTGACCTTGGACGACAAGATTCCAGAGTTACCATAATCTCCTCTCATTCCATCGTAGCTAATAGTTAAACCGCCAGCTGCAGACCAGACAATTAATAATGCAGATAAAGTAGAGTTTCCCTCGTGCTATTCTCCCCTCACGAACCACCATAAAGTTCCATTTACTCAGAGCGGAGAAAACTCCTCAAAAACACCCCTCACCTTGGAGGAAACAAAATACCGATATTAGTAAAAATAAAAAAGAAAAAGAAAAAAAAACTCCCGACAGCGCCAGTGAACTTCACCGATTTTCCCGTATAATCGGCATCGGGCTTCAGTTAGTGCATACCTGGAATAAAATACCAACTTCGAACCAAAACACCAAAAGCATTAATAAGTGAACCCCGAACGCGACCAGGCTTTCTGGTGGCCAAACATCCTATAAGCAGCTGTCGTCTATTCGAATCCGAGCTTTTACTACTCGCGCCTTCTTCGTATATTAACTCGACAGTTGCCCGCCTCCAGTGTCATTCGGTATTCTCCACCTTTGTCGGATTGCCGTCGCCCGCTCCATCGTGAGGATCTTGTTTAGACGACGGCTTCGGGATCTTGATGGTGATCGTGGTCTCAGGCTTGTATTCGCTCATAGGAGAATGTAAAACGTTAATTTGAGGGACAGGAGTTAGCTCGTCCATAGGATCGCTGGCAAAACTGTGTTCCGACGTCATCGTGCTCATCGGGGTGATCCTTGAACTATCGTCCATGTAATCTTCATCGTCGCCACCAACTTCACCCACAGGCATGCCCCCTGCCTCCGGTAGACCGGTGCCCTGAAGTATGGCGGATGACAAGTTCGGCGACGAGATCTCGGGGTTTGGCATTGTTGTTGTGCTTCTCTGTCCGATGGATTCCGTATCTCCACCAGTGCTTGCTTGACTGGAGATATAATCTCCTGAGGACCGTTTCAAAGCATGCTCTTCATGGAGATCCGTTATGCTACTGGGTGGTGGTCCAATCGCCTCGGCGACCGCAGCGGCTTCTTCGGGCTCCGGCAATCTTGATGTGCTGCTACTTGCGCTGGTTGTGTCGAATAAATGGTCACCCTTGCCCTGACTCAACCGCATGATTTGATTATAACTCCGTCGCGAAGGGTCTGCCAACCTCTTCTGTTTCTTCTTTTCACGCTTCTGGCTTGGCCGAACGACGATAACGGGAATGGGAGATTGCTGAAGACAGTATTTTGAGACCGAGCCAGGAAGGAGGCCCTGCATACCACCGAGGCTGCGGCCTCGTGTTCCGACTATGAGCGCGGCGGGTTCATAAATTTGGATCTATCATGGTTTAGCCAAGAAGATAGCAAGCGGTTCTCAATCTAGGACATCCATACCATCCGTTGTATAATGTCTTGAACCTTGCCCACCGCCAATTCCATAACCAGACTAATTGCTTTTTCATCATGGCTATTCTTTGCAATCACTTGCTCGAATAAATTCTCCGCTTCCTTCCTATATCTTCTGCCTTCCGCGCCGGTATCGCTGGCAATCTTCGAGTCCTTCTCGACGACACGCAAGCAGACAATCTCATCTCCATCGTCTACCAATTCGTCAATGAGCCATTCCAGGGCAAAGTCAGAGTAGTCGTTCTGGTCGGCGCCACACAGGAAGGTTCTGCTTCTCCAAGTGTTCTGGTAGTCTTTATGCTTGTAGTTCAGCGTCAGCGAGAAGTCGGGCGCATCACGGTTGTCGAAAGTGTCAAAGGAGACACCGCGGTTGTAAGAACTGGAGCGTTTATAAGAGGACGTCAGCCCACCGTCAGATCTCGATATCTCAGAGCTCGTCGAATCTGCGGAATGCATCGCGTGGATGCTTCCCTGGCGAGATTCGCTTTTTGGTTTGGGGATGAGATGGTAGAATTCTGCAGTGTAGGAAAAGTGAAAAAAAAAAAAAAAAAGAGAAAAAGAAAATTAGAAGAAAAGGGCCGGATCAAGAGAACTGCAAAAAGTCGACGGGGCCAGAGAGCGGACCAGAAAAGGGCGCATGGAGCTGGGATTCCCGACTGGGGTTGGCGGGGCAAGCAGTCTTGGGGCAAACCGTCCGTCCACACACCCCGAGCCGACACCATTGCGGGGTGGAGACCGTCCCAATCCGGGCACAGTCGCCCTTTAGTCACCAACATCTGGTCTCCCCAACGAGACCGTTTGTCATAAAGCCCAGATGGAAGCAAGATACACACTGGAAAGAGGGCAGTGCATAGAACCAGGGTGGACAGGGCAAAGTGATGGGATCCGTGTGGGGGAGTCTTACCTAGGCGGTGGTGGCGACGGGATCCTTCGCAGAGTCCGCAATCTATCTTTCGTGGACGCCTGCACTCGTTCTCTCAGTCGCGCCTCTGATCCCGCAGTGTTGAACTGGACGGAAGGACGACGCTGTGTCCCATCGGGCCCGGAGAGAGAAGAGCTATCGGTCTGCGAGAGGTTCGTCCCGTCGAGGTACGACGACGGTGCTACGTCGGAGAGCAAGGCGGACGAGCTGGTGTCCGGAGAGGTGGGTGGCGAAGAAATCGACGGCATCGGATTAAGTATCACAGCAGCTCTAGCAGTTGCATATCCCAGGCTCATAGAAGCAAGCTGCAAGTTCCTGTCAATCATCCGGCTAGTTTGAGCATGAGAAGTTACATCACAGGTGTGGCTGAGTCGGAAAGCCAGAAAAACTGAGTAAAACACAACCAGAAGTTACCACAGAGGGGGAAGGGCAAGGAAGGAATTTGCGTGTGCTCTGGACACACACGGAGCCGTGAACTCACCTGTTCGTGTTCTTTCCGCTGTATAGCACCTGGAGGGAGAGTGAAAAGAGACAACCAGCGCAGGTTCAAGTGGGCAGGCTGTATTTAAAAGGGCAAAGAAGAAGCAGTGCAGCTGTGAGAAGTCAAGCACGTTGACCTGTTGACTAGTCCGGTCGCTGCGGCGTCGGGTGAACTAATCCACACCAAAGGTAAATCTATAAGGCCAGTTTCCGGGTCCCAACCCTCTAGTTTACTGCAGAAACTTTTCTTGTACAATAAACTTGTCTTGCCTGAGTGCACTTGTGATTGCGCTGCATAAACCTTTTAATTAAAAAAGAGCTGCTTGGTGGCACGGATTTGGTGACTGGCGGGCTCCCGCTGGGCGCGCCGGCGAGCTAGGCTGTTAGCTCGACACTAGTTGCACCCTCAGCGCTGCCCTACGCATGCTAACGCCACACCAAGATCACATGGTGGTCAATAGGAGATCGATGCTGGTAACTATGCCCTGTGCAGAGAACGCTCTCTTTTTTATCTCTCAAATATGCTCTGGCACTTGGGCCTGGGCACCGGAGCAGTGGACGAATCTAGACTGCTTTGGTCTCCTGGCCTCTGAGAAAACTCAAATCAGTTTGTGGACGAGGTTGGGGTCAATCACCCATGTCGATTAAAAAGTCGTCCGACACACACTGCTGCAGTAATTAAATTATTGTCACCAAATTGAGCAACAGCGAGCATTTCCAGCTTACTGCCATTTGCTGTCTCTTTATCAATGTTGAGCAAAAAAATAAACGTAATTCATTGTTTTTTACCCAGCCATACCAACCTTGTTCCATAGACCCGATCTCCAAAACTTA